CAATTATATAAATTAAATACTCACGGCAAAGGCGATGTTTGCTGTCTAATTGAATTCGCTATATTTTGCTCCGAGTACAAGTTGATTGGTGAGTTGAACTGTTTGTGAACAACCTGTAATGAAAATCTCATTTTGAAAACTCTACCAGTGGAAAGAATACAGAGAAATTCAAAACGATGATATCTAAAACCACTCTGATGACAAAGACGAAGGGCGAACAATTATCGACTGTGAAGTTGAAATGAAAATATAACTAACAGTGAAATGAGAAGACATAACGATATGGCTGCTAAAAGTAAAGACGATGAAGGTATGACTATCAGTAAGATCATGTTTTAAATGAAAAATGGACTAGTTTATGGCACATGCTTAAAAGTTATTTGCTTTTCAAACAGCCATTTTGTTAACCTTATTCGCATCTTCACCAACTACTCGCTGCAACACCGATTCGGCCACCTGAGTTTTTTTACAAAGAAACAATAATTTTACTTTAGATCTCTCGTTTAAAAAGGCTCATAATGTTAGTCCAGGATTAAAACATTCGAGCCCTTTACTAAACGGTTATGTTTTAAATAACTTGAAAGTAGTAAACTACAATTGTGTAAAAGCTAAAGCTCTAAAGAGTGTACTGAGAAGTAGTTATGTGTTCATGTGCTTAAGTGTGCTCGTGCAAGTTCATGAGGTTTCATGTAGGCACAAAATTAGGCGGGTAGTTTTAGAAAATACAATACCTCTACCAAGACATATTCTTAAGCGATTTTACTAAGTCTTGATGACCATTTAAATTCTGTCAGTGTACTATTGTAAATTAGGAATAATGAGTACGAACCTTTTTCCTTTTTAACCTCCTAACTTCTAGGGTCTTTAGCGTTTAGCGATCATGTTTTTTATTAATTTAAAATGCTCTTACACACCAGCTGTTGTTTGTCAACCATACGTCCAGATGTGTGCAAATTTATGCAAACATAATTAGGAGGTAAGTCTAGGTAAACATTATAACCGGTCTTGATCAATAATCATAATGGCACGATGTGTTCTTGAACTTGAACTTACTTAACTGTACTTTCATAATAGATTTATCTTTAATAAACTGTATACAAAACATTTTGTTGCTGTAATATTCGTTATTGTTAAAATTGATAACTTGGCTTCGGCCGATAGAGAAATAAGAGTTACCTTTTGCCTCATAACTGTATCACGGTAGTCATGGTGAGGTGGCGCCCTCATGGCTGGGTTGGGGTGGTGCCTCAGATAGCTCTCTGTGGGTCCGGGTTCCCTGCGAACCTTCGCGCCTGGCAATACCAGGGGTGTGGTGCGGTAAGGCTGTAAATGATTACAAGATGAAAAAAATCTTAGTGGAAAGAATCGAAAAGATAGCAAATTTACCGCTGTTACAGATTGTCTCGGGTATTACTTAACAGGAAAGAAACATATAATTTTTTGGGCAGGACAGTAAAATTGGTCTATATCGTGTACATATTTTAGTCGAAGGTTTATTAGATCGTACCTATGGAGCAAACTAGTTATTATTCTCCAGGTCTGGCAAGGTTTTTGATCTTGGACCATAACTATTATTATATATGTATATAAGTCACGAGAAAATAAAAAAATTAAATAGTAATAGATTACAAATTAAAAGAAGCTTATCCATAATACGGATGTTATAAAAAAATAAATAAGGTTGCCCCAATTCACAAATATTAAATTAAAGTAAATTAAATATTGATAGGAACAGCACCAGCGTCGAGGAATGAGAAGTCATTAACGGGAACCATGAGATTCTTCAGTAGATGAGGCATTTCAATGACAATTAAGCAACAAAATATGTGATTCTTGGTACGATATTGACTAGACGTGAACTATTTCAGTTAGCGAGGTTAAATTTCTAAAAACACGATCTAGTGACGTTAACAACAGATTCTAGTTGTTGTATTATTTATGAATTGAAGGAACTAATTGAGTTTAGTAAATTTACACTGTTTAACAAATTATATAAAAATAAAAATCTCCGAAACACAAGTATTGGTATTGTGTGCTAGTGATGCTGATGCTGTATATACAACGCTGCACGGTTTTAAACGCGAATTATATGAGTTAATTTTTAAAAAAGGTTCCGAATATTTTGTATAAACGTTGTAAACATCAGTGATGACGCTCCTGTTGAGGTTCCGGTCATCATCGCCAATTTAGTGAAGGATGTCGTCCGCGTTCAAGTCCAAGTTCTGGCGAATAGATGTAAATTAGCTTGGAGCTTTGACTTTCTTAAATTAGAGACTTGAGCCCAGGTGGGAGAGGTTGCTTAAAATGATGTTACAGCGAAAAATATTCATCTGATTCTAGTATATATAATTTTCCCAATGTTTATTCAGCCAAGCATATATTAAGGTAATACGCCGACAGAATTGTTAATGTAGTAATCATAAACATGATTCAGTTTATGTTAAAGCCGTTTCAAATGAATGAGGCGTACGTGCCGTAGATTTTATCGGCCCAACGGAATATCCGAATTGAGAATTGCGCTCGCGCAAATGAATTTCGACATTTATTTCCGTCCATTTGGGATTTACAAAGCGCTGACGCAAAGATTTACTTTAGCCGATCCATTAAAATTCAAGTGGCAATATTTTTGTAGAAACTTTCCACACCTACACTAAGCTTTGAGTGGCGTCGATAGAGCTTCGTTGTCGATAAGAGTATCATCCTCCATTTTTGTGGTGTCTTTTTGTAATTAGATGAGCTCTTACTAACTGGACATTGATTGATGATAAATTTCAGTCTTCACTTTTGAATAAAGGTCAAATCTCTGTTATTTTGATTCATTTAGGTCAATCGAATATGTATCGCATGATTTCAACATAAGATTACAACGATGACATTGAGTCCAAAATAGAATCTCCAGTAACTGTGTATCAACCTGATTTTGAATTAATACACTAGCTAGCATATCATTGCTTTGCAAGTTTTATAATCGTAAACTATAAACCACTGTTAGTGTAATGGGAGGCAGATTTCTGCAGATGCTTTTAATAAAGCAAAGTTAGTTCAGATATTAGCAGTATTTTTACACAATATACTGGTAATTGTACGTAGTAGTATTTTGTGATAGTTTTCAACTTTTTTGTTACTAGAAGTTAGAAATAAACTAAATAGATAGATTCTTCGTAAACAATAAACTACTTCTTCCTTTTAAATGTCTTCAAATAATACATATAAATTTGGAACAAAGAATTCCACTTTTAAACTGCTTCAAGGACCGAACAAATATTTATGATTTCTTTCCTTCTTTCTTTTCTAAAAGGTTGACCTAAAACTTGTACTTAGCTTAACCTCAAGGCTAGTCCTTCTTGCCTTCTAGAACGTAAAACAGCATCAAACGTTGTTACATCACGTAATCTTGTAACACAAGCCGCTACTCGAGTGCTCCAAAATTAGTTTACGTTTGAACGTCCGAGATAACGTATCGCCCGTTAAGTTTCACGAGATAGAAGATTCTTAAGGGAAATACTTTGTACAAGCCCTGAACCACTAATTGCTGGTAGTAGGATTATCCACGCACCCAGTTTGAGACGAACTCCTCCTCAGGATGTTTGGGATCCTGGTACCCATTGGGGAAGAAGTTAGGGTTGACAGCCATGGTAGCACTTTAGGCGGACGTGTGGTCGAACGTGCGATCGCGAACTGCGTCTCCAGTCGTTCCCTCACAGTAAACACCAATTCTGATGCATCTATTTTGGAAATATGACGAGAAAATAGGCGTCGGTGTGGGCGGGAGCTCTAGCATCTAAGACCTTGATGGACAAGCGCGATTTCGTTATTTATTGCTAACGGATTGTGATGGCTACGATTGAGGATAGGGTTTTCTATACAGCATCAATTATCCGAACTGATTCTAGAAAGATGTAATCGAATTTCCATCTTCACGAATGCGATTGATCTGTTCTACAGCGTTTGCGCTAATTTTAAAGCTTTACGCTTAAACGAAATTGACTTTTTATAAGTCAGAATTCTTATTTCATTTAATTTCAGGCGAGCAAGACGAACGGTTACGCTGTAGTTCGGTTAACCTACGTTTGGATATCCACTAATGGTACTTGTTCAACTGCTCTATTACTGGTACTCCGTATAGAACCTAGTAAATGTACTAAGCATTTGTAATTAAACTCTTTGCATACTTTCCCTTATCGATTATGAATATCAGCATGCATTTCATGTTTATTATTTTCTTTATTCTTCGGTTAAAAACATCTATTTCGAAATTTCCTTATTAACACTGCATACACAATTTTTTTTAAACCGCCTTTCCAGATAACCTGTTTCGGTGCAATATTATAGGCTAGATATTGTCCGGTTGCCACTGCTGCGTTCAGATTTGATTATATCAAAGTTTTAATTCTAGATTGAAATCGAAAGTTCTCGACGCCATATAATAACTTATCGGTTCTGTTAATATCGGTGACTTCTATCAATTAATAACATAATGAGAACGTTTTTGGCGTCTGTCCAAACACCGCCGCTCTGTTTAGAAGTTGGGTAACCCATTTCGCATGGAAAGCGTGTCGAGAAAGCAATGTGTCAGATTATAAATATTGCTTCATAAAAGCCCAAAATGTTTTGCGAAATTTTATTACTGTTTACTACATCATTTGTTTTTCACGTAAAGTACCTCAAATTTACGATGGTTATTTTAAGTTTTAAAGCTTGGATTTAAGGTTAAATATTATTAGTAATTATGTACACTTAGCATACATATTTTATTTCATTAGGATCCAAATAGTAAATGGTTCAGAACAGAAATAGTTTTTCGTGACTGCCATTCATTTGACGGATACAATATGGTGAAATAAAAATCCTTTAACATCGGAACATATTCTGACCATAATAAAGACATAACTAAGCTTTAGTTTAAGTTATAAAAGCATTTTTAAACCTTTGGCAAACATATTAATTGGTCACGAAAATACAACGCACTTGGCCAAATTGGCAAACGAATAATTTGAAAATTACGATTTAGAACGATTATTCTTCATTTGGCACGACGTTCTCAAAGGAGGCTGTGGGTATACAATAATTAAAAGTCAATGTAAAACATATAAGAGATAGTTTTTAATGTAGAAGAAGAGTAAGAAAATTATTAATATATGTTAATAAATAGATAACAGACTATTATTTGATACGCGTAAATAAAAGTTAAAATAAATGAGTCAACGGTTGCAGAGTTGGACGCTGTACTGGACTTGATATTAGGTATTTATTACTAGGATAAATAAATAAAAATCCTTTTAGCTACAATCATCTGATTGAAAGCATCTGCTATTACCAATGTTAAAGTGAATTCCTATTTTCCTGTCTGGGGCATGGGGCGAACACATGTATATCTCCGTATCACTTAACAATTTTTATTTACGGATGTAATCAGACCTTTTAGTGCTTAACGCCAATACACATTTGACCATTTAACTACACCGATTGTCGGGCAAAATGCATTTTATGGTATCTATTAAACATTTATTTAAACCATGTTGGCAATAAAGCTTAGATATCCTATTATCGATGTATTTGATTTTATATATCACATTTACATGCTACTAATTATTATTACCTGACTTGTTATCGATTCATCCACTACGTCATCGCTGCGAGAGGAGTCGGGTGAAAGCATTAGTGTTCTGAACTCTCCCTCATTCTGTACGGAGTACTGTGGCTGAAGTATTGGTGTGCTGCGGGGAAGAGATTCTGGCCCCCTCCACGCGTTTCCTGGCTTTGGGCTGGGTGTCCTATTTTGTTAGGAAATATATATAATAAAGAGAAATTGGATAAATATATCTTAAATATTGTTTCTAGTATTATTATAAAATGGTGTCTTTATCCTAGAGTTTAATTTAGTTACAAGGATGGAGATTATGAAGGTTTGGCTTTAAAAAACGATTTCTAAAAGAGATCTTTATATATGTGAGTATCATCAATGTTATTGCAAATTATGAACATAGCTATTACAAGTAATAACTGTCAATGAATTATACTTTATAGATTACTTGTCATTGGTTTAATGTGACTCCAAAAAAGGATTTCTTTACACCAAAAAAGATTTAACCCTGGTCTTCAAATTTAAAGTTTTTTGACCAGGAAACAAAGTAAATGGTATTATGCTTACCTAAATGGTGGTGGGACAGAATTTTGTATAGGAGAACGTTGTGATACAGGCGCGCCTCTTGGCCCTTCTCGCTCCGAATCTCTAAAGGTAACAACGTGAATCGGTCACAGGATAGTGCAAAGGGTATTTTAAAATATGGACTGTGAAAAGTGGGTGACAGAAGAGAAGTTATTCTTGTCAATAGAACGACTACATTTTCTTATAAAATATAAAATTAAAACAGATCAACAGCATATATTGTTAAGTTTATCATATTAACTAAAGTTTTTAAATACACTTTAATGGTTTAAATCACGATATATATTAGTTAATATACTGGGACACTCTCCGTGATCATGGCTGCTGCAAAGCATCCGACACGTCGGGCCGTAGTTAAAATAATTAATAATGTTTTTTTTAATGTGTACTACTCTCATAAACTAGAGACAGTATTTAAACCCCAAGCTGTTGGCATTGTTATAAGGTGTTATAGTAAACCTGTAATAAAATGCTCCACCTTCAGTCACCCTCTTTTAAGACTCACAAATATTCTAGAAGGCTTACAGTATAGGCATACAATAATCACAGTAAATTAATATTACTTTTGTTAGTACTATCTACTGTCTGTGTTAAAATACCGGATTACAAAATATAAGAAGAAAAAAATCAACTTATTAATAGGCTAAAGGAGACTAGCCAAGTATTAGCGATGATACTTTTTTTAACGTAGGAGTAGATGACGATCAAGTAAGTTTAGACCAAGCTATTATAAGAGCAGACGACACCGAGAGACAGGTCTTACTGGTACAAATAAGGATAGAAGCTCGGAGTAGGCACACGGCCCAGGTAGCTAGGTGACCGTGGCATGCTGTAGTAATGTGGACTCGTAGTGCTCCTGAGTAAAACTTTACCATCAAATCCATGGAAAATACCATATTGAAGACATCTCTTAGTGGGAAAAGTTCGTTTCTCGACCACCGTAATTAAATTTGCATGATGACTATTATATTTAAATTATCAAAAGAAATGTTTCATATCATAATTTTTCGGGCTGTTCGGCCGACGTAAGCTCGAAGAATTCTACGAGCAATCAAGGAGCTAACATCTCCTGATGGTGCCATCCACTCGTGATGGCGAAACGTCGAGAACTTCTTCACGCTCACGTCAGCTGAATAGCCCGAAAAATAATGATATATTGAACGATAACCGTAAAAGCCTTACACAATTTATTAAGTAAATACTTCTTTAGTATTCATTCAGCTAATTTTAAACAAAGACATTTTTTATTTGAATTATTAAAAAGATTTGGAATTTTTAAATTTTGTCATATTTCAAATACTGGAATTGGTAACGACTATGTTTTATATGTTTACAGCGAAATTCTTGAGCTACTTAGAATCTAGCACATATATGAAATTGTAATTAGTTCAAGGACTATGTTTATTGCACGACATCCGTTCAAGTACTGTGTATGCTGTGAGAGTTGGATATAGATGTTCCGTTTTAATATTAGTCGATATATTTTACCTTTGAACGACAAGTTTGATTTGATTTTTGGCATTCTTGAAGAGGTTCTGTGCATCTTCGTGTCGTAGGTCGCGTGCATCGTAATCATCTATTTTCGCAATAATATCACCTCTCGTGAGATCCCGGCCAGCTGGAGTGCCCGGTGTTACCTGGAAATAAATTATATCCATCATGAATATGTAATTTTGTTCCATATTTTAACGTGGTTTGTTAAAAAATAGTAAGTAGAATGTTTGAAAACTTTTACTATGAAAAAAGAAAAATAGTTTTATACTCGATCTAGTGCTCATTACTCATGACTTGAAAAATAGACTAAAATGTAACGACACACATCTAATAAAGACGTAGCGTTGTAGTAAGTGATGTCGTAATTGTTTTCACCTGGGAGAAGGTTGAAAAACTGTGTCCATGACACTTGAGCTAGGTCATTAGATATTTATGTTTTGAATTCCTTTATTTAGGAAGTATGTTATAACGAACTGCTGAACCACAAATTGCCTAAAGGTTTTGGGGAATCTCCTATGTAAAGAAGCTTACTTTTAAAATTTCTAATTATTCTTTCTACTCGCTTAACCGTTTCCATTGCTAGACCTAGAAATTCCGTAGACTAACAGAATAAACCGAAATATAGGGTAGTTCTGAAGATTTGCTCAAAATGTTGTCTTTAGAACATGCTATTTTACCAACCAGCGTTTTGATTTTTTAAAATATGTATTACTAGCAATGTTTTGGACGACCATCACCATTGTATAGGATAAATAGACCTCCATAACTATGAATGCATTCTAATCGCTGAAAGCATCGAAGAACCTAGGGTATCAATGCCAATGTGACCTTGTGTGTTTGGGGGAGGTTTAGATGCGTGATATGCACTGAGTTGGCCATGGGCCAAGCTAAATGCGGCCACCGACGTTGTCGTGCCAACCGTCACTGACACTTTTATTAAAACCAACCATCGACCTGATAAAGGCCGACAAATTGACGGGCTGATTTGCGCAAATCCATCACGCTACAGCTGAGTCAATGGCGAGGACGTACACCTATTTACATCTCAGAACTGTCATCAGCCTACTTGGTATTTATAACTAGACAAGGGTGATCAATGGCACAGTAGCTGTGACCGCGATTTCATCCGCATAGAACCCACAAAGATGAATGATTTTTCCCGTTTATTCTACATTTCCCATTGTTTCTTCGCATCAAAATCAGCAGTATCTGAGACAAGCGTGTTCAAACAAAACATTAGTATAGATATGAATTTGACAAAAGGAGTCATAATTTCCTAAGTGTACCTCGATGATATTATAATAAACTATTCTAAACAGAATAACATTTTTATATACACTCGTGGTTATTTTAATCTTTGTCAATTTGCCTGTAATTTTACATCAAGTCAACGCGTGCGCAAATCGCTTTTGCGTCATGTGATGTCCATACGTGAAAGAATGACGTTAGGATCGTTATTGGAGGGTACATAAACATCCCAGGGTGATGATAACAAGTAGGTCAAGATAGATGACGATGAGATGTAATTTAGATTTAGAATTATTAATTATGTCTTTTAACACTCTAAGATCTATATAGATCTCTATCTAAATAATATTGCCATCAAATATCTTTATCTCATGTTGTAATCTTAGTGGATTATGAAAACCTTATTCAAACATTTTTCATTCTAATTAAGATGTGTTGGTTGTTATATCTTAAGTTACAATGTGATAAGGATGTCAGAACAACTCGAGAACTCAGGTAGTCTTTACAATTATGTCTTCATTATATTAAAGAAGCTTATGTGTATGCTATATTATCATATTACATATTATGACTTATCAGCCATGATTAATTTCTTTTCTCCGTTATAAAAACAATCAAATTTAAAATATTGATTTACTAAGCTTCTCTTAACATTATGATAGCAGTTATGCTTTTATTTATAGCCAAGATTTTTTAAGCTCACATAAGCAGGTAAACAGAATTGGAATCCAAATTTATGCGAGCCAAATGTTATAATTTACGGATTAATGAAACATGATTCAGAACAGTTGGAATATAACTGATAAAATTTATCATGTCTGTAAGATGCTTTTACGACACATTACTTTATGTAAAAACCTTTTTTAGTATATACGTTATTTAGTTAACTATTATAATACAAAATTCCGTTTCCCCATGTGGGGCATGGCGCACACATTTCTGTGTCCGTTTGACTGATCAATTTAATTTTCAGGCCACAATTTATCGTTTTCCCACAATCAACTTAACCCGTCTTCATCGCATTGCTAGTGTAACCACTGAGCTATAGAGGCTGTCGTAGTTTCATGATGTTTATCTATTTGAAAGAGACAGTGATTGAGATGCTCACATATGTACCTTACAATGTGGTCTAAGGACGTAATTTGTTTATTTGTGTCAAAATTCATTGTCAGCCTTGTTATAGATTTTTTTAGTAACAAATACTTTTTTTAATTAATGTTCGCTGAGAACTGAAAAGTTAGTGTTTTTAAAAGCTACTTATTCAATATTATATACTTTTTTTCCATGATAGAAGACAGACAATCCGCTTGATAGTGGGTGATTAGCCATATAACATTTAAAGCAGATACGGTATCGACCTATTTCTGTTCTAAATATTTGAAATTCCAACGAACCGAAGCGCGATTAAACTCATCGGCTTATCCATCTGTAGACAGTTAACACTCATTTAATTTCCAATATGTTTCAGAAAAATTATAAATAGGTTAGAACTTTGGACACGACGGGGATCAAAGCCACGACCCGTTGATAATCAACGGGTCGTGGGTAGCCATACATTGCTACCATTGCCCCACCGAGAGCGTCAAAGTGTATGAATCAGTGCTTTTATCTCGAAAGTTTATTGCTGTTTGACCTAAAAAACAAACTGTCTATTTTATTAATCCTTCGATACTTAAAATTAATGGACTGATCTTATCCGTGACCTTGATTCCCATAAAACCGATTACGTTATAACCTTGATCTATTTTTTCGATTACCAAATGTAACTTCCTCTCACATCTGCGTTTAGTCAACAGACGCTTTTAATTTTATTCCTTGCGATATCTTGACCTGTATCAAAGCTAGCTTCGAATTGATTAGTTTCATTATCGGTGCTAAACAGTGAAGCGGTGCTAGATTTTCCATTAGATTTATAAACTTGGCTGAGATCATGAACATACATCACGATCAGAATTGAACATTACCTATTGCATTTAAGAGTAGGACACATTGAAAACACTTTAACGGTTTAAAACGCGATATATATGAGTAAAACTTTTTTGAAAATTATTTTTGACTACAGCCGTGTCTCTCCGTGACCACGGCTACGATTTAGTTCTGTAGCATATGTTAACCTTATTTTTTTTATTTATTATAGAGATGCACAGACCGAAGATGCTTTAACGACTTACTTTTAGCTTTGGATATTCGGAAATCCACAAACTGAAACCGTAACGCCATTAAACTTGATGGCTCTTTCGTCTGTGGACGGTTTTCGTTCGCGACCCGGACGCATTTCCGATATTCCTAAATCAAAGAGTCCGTGTATATGGTATAAATTTGTTGTATAACATGTTCAGTCTAGTATCGCTAAACAAAAATGCTATAACTATAATAAAAATTAAGTATTAAAACTGCGATATACTTGGTCCCATACGAATAAATTAAAATGGCGTATAGACTACATTGTATTAAATATTAATAATCAGATTGTTAATACACGCCCCAAAGCATTTTCAACAAAACCCGTAGTGTCCCAAATGTCAGCGATCCTGGTGATCAGCCGGGGCTGGTTTTAGCGAGTAAAACCACTTACAGAGAACGTACTCGTATCTCAGAGATGCACAGACCGCGGCCCGCGATTAGTGGTGGCCCGCCGACAGCAAAAATAATACTCAAATTAATAAATTATTTTTTAATTTTGGCCCGCCATCAGTTGATTATTTGCCCGAGTAGTCCATAGTCTTAATAAGTCTGTGCATCCCTAGTATATCCAAGCTATGTTTTTTTTTATCATGGACAGACAAAAATATACTACACGTAACGAATATGTAAACTACATGTTTTAATTTACAAAATATTATGAGAGAAATTCAATGGCTAAATTTACTCCTAAATCTAAAATAAACAAAATTCGCTTCGGAAAGTCTAAACAGTATTGTCTTCCTACCACACACTGCATATATTGGCAAGCTACATAACGCTATAAATTATCAAACAAATATCTTCCACTTTTCTAGAAGCTATAAAAAAGCTTTGTGAAATTGCAAACAAGATGAATCAGCGCGTGGTTAAGAGCGGTAGTAAGTCGCTTGGCGGGACGTTTGTTTATTTATAAGCAGCTAGACTGAACAAACGGAACTCTCTACTGGGTCACGTACAGGAAGAAGTATGGGGACAATAATTGATACGAGAAATATACCTTATTACCTAATGGTATCTAAGGTTTAACGAGTGAAACACAACAAATACTTGTTAGTGAGTTGTGCTTTCCCAGAGATGCTGTATAGCGTCCGAAATTTTAGATTATTTTATATATCGTGTTTTAAACAGTTTACAGCGTCTTGTTGCATATTCCTCAATCTTATCTAACAGAGCAAGATCTTAAGTGTAATTCCTCTTAATAAATTTTATGACTTGTCTTGGCTAGCATTAATTTTAGTATTTACAACAAATTTTATTTGTAATAACTCTGGAGTATCGTTTGCTGGACGCAAAATTTATTTTATTGAACTTTTTTTGCTTATATTGTTTGCTTTTTTGTGATTGTAATTTCACGTAATTTTAAAATATATTAATATTGTAGTCTATATGACGCGAGTAGCACAAAAACCAATCTTTATAACGGTTTAAAAATGCTTTAAATTGTATGTCTCTACAATGTTTTTTAAAAAATTTCCAAAAAATGAATTTGCGCAGATAGCGACTTTTTCATGAAATTTTTAAAATTGTTTTTATTTTCACTATTTCAGTTTCTAGATGTTTCACCATACATTTTATTGTTGACGTCGCCGGCGGAAGCTAGTTATTTGGGCCATGTTGAGATTTTAGTGACAACTGTCGAACAGTAGACCCATTTAGATCCCAGTATAATACCTTTTCAACAGATTCATTAAGATTCCGGCTATCTAGGAAAAGGTTCGTTTCTTTTAAAAACATGAGTAATTATGAATATTCACTATATTCATCAGTAATAGTCAAATAATATTAGTTTGAACATACATTTCTAGTACAGTGAAATAATAAAGTTTTTAACGGTTCGAAAGGCCGAACTATACCTATTACTTAATTACGTTTCCGGAAGTTTCCGCTAGTACAGTTTGACACCTAGCTAAAGAAAAATTATCTCTTAAAGATCGGTTTTTCATTTTTGTGTTTTTCTTATTGTTTAAAAAAGGAATTCCATTTTAGTAACTTTCCATTTTCAACTTTTTTTTATAAATGGAAGAGTGATAGTTATGAAAAAATAAATTTAGTTAATCTTCAGGGTTGCTAAAGCTCCAACTCCTACGCATGTTTGTTTATGCCGGCATGTTGTAAAAAAAGCGTACCCTAGTGACGATTAGTGGCGTTGCTAAGTCCGCTCCGCCCACCAGCCGGAGACCCCAGTTAGTGTCGCGTGTTTCCCGCCGAAGGGTCACGACAAACGTATGAAGACGCCCCATCGCTGGATGCACCGCGCGAGAGCGCAACTCTTGCGCACACTTGCGAGCACGACGAAACGAAACGTTGTGTGGGCAAATTTAGATCCACCACACACTACACCCCGCCCCCTCTCCACTGACCTGCACATAACCCTGCCCAATCGACCTAATTCCATACGGAAGTTTATGCTGAACATTTCCCGTGATGCAATTTTTCTAATACACTTGTCAAGTCGTCAATCGAGATTCGAGGGCGAGTCGCTTTAACTATAAATCGACGGATGACTAAATTGTAAAATGGTGCTGGTCGCCGGATAAAATTATATATAAAAAAAACACTTTGTCACAACAGCTGTAGTTACAGGGCTACTGCAAAGCATCCGAAATGTTGGGCCGTAGTTAAAAATAATAAAAAATAATTTGACTAATATATTTCGCGTTTTAAACCAAAAAAAGCGAATTATAGCACTATTAGCACTACTCGCGTGAACTACAGACAATAAGACATATAATATTCAACGTAATGACACAATCGATTCTAAAAAAAACCACTCGTAAGCCCACGTAGCTCCCAAATTAAAAACTCACAGTCATTTTATTTAACATACATACTTCCGGTCTTAAAACACTTTTCATTTTTAAGGTGTAGAAAAAACGCTGCATAAATTGGTTATTTGTTTCACGGCATGATGCATATTATATTGTTCTTATAAATAGATCATTAATCATTTTGAAGGTGCAGACGCATAATTTGGCTAGCATCGGGCACCTTGTGTATTTCTAGAGGTGATTATTCTTACTATATTTTCACTCTATATGGTATAAAAATGAATAGATAAAACCAACGACTATGGCTTTATCTATTTTTATCATGTTACAGTAACTCCTCCACGAATTGATTTTTATCATTAATTTTAAGAGAATATTGTAAAAAATTAACTAATTTTCATTTGAAACAACTTTTAAAATAATCCTACAGATGGCTAATTAGATAAAGTATTTTTTGTAATTAAACAGTTCATTTACAATTAAAACAATATTTTACAAATAGAACCACGTTTTCGTTGACTACATTAATACAAATAAATATCCAAAACTAAAATCGACAGTGCACCTCGTGTGGATGTTATATGGCTGGAGTATTTCATCTCCCATCAAATGACGTCATGTCTGTCCGTCTTCCTCTATCATTAAAAAAATAGCTACTAATTTGAATAGTTAAAATGACCTATCTAAAAAGTTATATCATGAAACACAGTCTGTATTAAGCATAGAAAATGAATGAAAAACAAACTCACTTTCTTCCGGGCAAAGTTCCGCGCTTCGTCCGGGTCGGGGCGCTGGTGGGGCACGCGCCAGAATGGTGGACGCTGGTACATCGGCATCGTGAATTCTTTGTTAATCAGAAATATACACTTGAATTGTATTACTTTTTAATATAATAATGGGGCATTATTAAATAATTAGTTGTTTTCGTATTTTGTTAATCTTTGAATTCTATAACCGTGTAATAAATATTAAAAGCAACTTGCGATTGAGTTTTGACGACACAATATTTCTATTAAAAAGAGAGACCAAAAAATCACAACATATATCTATGCTATGGCTCAATTCGAATCCCGCCCGCGTCATATTTTTCTATTATGATTTATTCTGTATTTACAAAACACATTGCAAGTACATAGGACCTAAATTTAAATGTGATTTCCATTCCAAAAGTATACCGCAAACGATACGTCAAGATCAAAGCTTCATTAATATTTCACGAGGAGCTGAGAAAAATTAAAACGCCGGCTGGTGTGAAAGTTTATGCAATAAATTACGCAGCAAAGGCCGAGGACACACAGGTGTTTAGGGTCAACACTCACCAGAGGGAGGTAGCGGTCTCTTGTCGTGTATCTACCAGTGTAGACTGGGTATTGTATTATTCCCGGGATAGTTAGACTATTTTTCGCTTCGTCGATAGCAGCGCGCGAGACGTTCGACGATCTATGCCTCGTGTGATTTACAGACGAGAGTCGCCTGTTTCTGGGCCAATACGAAATTCGCAATTATTCTTTCGTTTAACTGGTTCAATGCTCCGATCAAAGCGGGATGGATTGAGACGCTTTTAGATGTATTATCTGTAGTGTTTTCTTTTGTTATTCATACTAATATTACAATGATGACCACTAGTCTTATGGAAAACCAAGTAGACAAAGGCGAGTTTTAAAAACTTTCAACATTATAAGCGAACGCGAACTTTAAAGACACATTTTTTTTGTACGACATACATATAATATGTATTGATTTTTATAATAAGTTATTTATAATCTTTTGATTCAAAACGAATGTTGTAAATGATTATCTCAGCTCAAGGAGGTCTACCAGAGATAAAAGATTATTTCTCAATTAGTTTTAGTTAAACTTATTAAGGAATTATTTTAACTAAGGCCCATCGCTTCGGATGTTGTACAGTACCTGTGGTCACGGGAAGACTTACTCGTCTCTCGTTTTAAACCGTTACAAGTAAAAAAAATGTAAAAGGATGTTTCAGGGAAGCTACTGATCAACATTGCCATCGAAATTTCAATAATAAGGACTAAAACGATAATTTTAAAACTTAATTATGAGCTTCAAAATTTTTTTTTAATAAAAAAGTAATGTGCACAGTGCCCTAAAAAGGCCTGTGCTGTTTAAACTTGTGAAACGCAAAATAATCGCTCATCGACTAATATAATTTGTCGATTAACACCTGCTGTGTGCAAATGGGGTCGTTTGATGTAGAGCTAATTGGATTTAATTGTACTAAAATGCGTATGTATCGTTTCGAAAGTCCCACTTTCTTTCTATAGAAATGAAAATGCGTTTACGCTATATGCTTTATTAAACAGAAAAACTTAACTAAAAAATCCATAGTAATCCTAATTATTTGAACACACGTCATTGTACTGCTAAAATGAATAAAAAACACAAAATAAACATCTATAATGTTTACAAATCATTTTTTTAACTTAAAAAATAATGACCAGAATATTTTTCTTAACACACACTAATATTCGAGAGATAAGCGAATAAGAATGGTGTATATACAAGCTTCGCAAGAATAAAAATAAATCAAAATTAAAATAGGGTTAGTAATTCTTTTGAAAAATCAGAATTTTAGTTAAGTCGTGAGTAAACAGGTAGTGGATATTCGTTTACAATTCTATAAAAGTTGTATTCGAGGACAAAGCAGATTGCTAGTGGTATAAAACGCTTAAAATAGAGAGCGATTCTATGAAATATGTTACAAAGCAATAACACAACATAATAACATTACAATTTCAATAACTGTGTTATTAAGTACGTCGTCGACCTATCTTGGCTTTACTTTTAAATATGTACAGATTTAAAGCCTATGTGTTTTTATTATGATAGAGGACACGTAAGCTTATAACAAGTAAATAAGATGTGTTGTCGACCTATATAAGCTATATATCTTCAGAAATAAAGACTGAAAACGAAACGCGATTAAACTTAACGGCTTTCTCATGCGTGGGTAGTGGTTCGAGACCCATTTAATATTCAGATTTTCAGACGAAGTTCAACATGTTTCAGAAAAGTCATAGTTTGAGTTATAAAGCATTAGACCTTGTGGAAATCGAACCAACGACCTGTTGACTATTCATAGCTTAGCATCGTTGTACAAACAAAACCACTATATCAGTAAATACATAGTTAATTGTAATGTTTTAAATAATATAATTATAAATTTACTTTTCAGTAAATACAATAGTGTCGTTCATTTAGTCTTGATCTGAAAATCAATTTTAGATTAATTCCAATATCGCTAAAAGCCTCAATAAAATTTAAAAGTCTAACAAAGCGGGTTTAGTGTCCCTCGCACACTTGATGAGAGAGTGCATCAGCTTCACAAAACCGGTGTCCTTCGGTTTCTCCAAGCCCCGGAGCAGCCTGTTCTTCATCACAGCTACGAACTCTCGGTTACTTAGCTGTCCGTCCACTGTTAATTAAATATTACACATACTTATATTTTATGCAGGCAAGTATGGGAAGTAAAATCTATCCTGATATAAAAAGCTGAAGAGTTTGTTTATTTGTTTGAACGCGCTAATCTCAAGAACTACTGGTTCGAATTGAAAAATATTTTTCTTGGTTAGAGCATTTATCCAGGAAGGTCAAGTCAATTATTTTCGGTACCATTTTTCAGCGGAAAAAAACATTTATTTTCCGAGGATTTGAATAGTGACATTGTGGACTTACTAACGGCAAGGTATGTACATACTTAACGTTTAAAATTAAATTATTTCTAATTAAAATAACCGACTTCAAACAGTAACTAAAAAAACAGCAAAGATACAAAGAAGAAATAAATAATAAATTTAAATTCGGTGCCAAGTAAATGTTTCAAAAAACTTACTAGAACACCAAATTAACTAAGTAAACTCAATACCATGAATTAAAATGAAAAAAAAAAGGATTGTCAAAATCAACGAACAAACATATAAAAGCATATATAAGAATTAAGAACCTACTTTTTTCAAGTCGGTTAAATATTTAAATAAAACACTTTAACGGTTTAAAACGCGATGTATAAGTTAAACTTATTTGAAAATGATTTTTAACCGACGTTTCGGATGCTTTGCAGCAGCCGTCTCCCCGTGACCGCGGCATCCGAAACGTCGGGCCGAAGTTAAAAATCGTTTCCAAATAAGTTTAACTAATATATCGCGTTTTAAACCGTTAAAGTGTTTTATTTAAATGTGTACTACTCGCGTAAAGTATAGACAGTATTCGGCTAAATATTTCAATAAATATAACTTACTATTTTCATCAAAAATAGTGAAGACAACATTAATGACATGCGGATCCAGGTCTACATGTGCGACAGTTTTAGCCACATGTCTCAAGGTCGGTTGGTCTATAGATGCACCCGCGATATGATAGAACGTAAGCGCCGTATCCACATCGTTGATATTGTTGAGGAGGTGGAAGAATTTCAGGTAGTCGTCCTTTGTTATACCGACGCCGTGATCGCGGAACCTGAAAATTACCAAAGAGACTCACATGAATGCAACAATAAAGAGATTTTGATATAGTTTATGCGTTACAGGTAGTAAATAAGTAAATTAACAAGTTGACATACGAGTTATATTAAGGTAATTGAATTTTAATTACAATAAATATAAAAAATATATTATTTATTATATACGAGGACAGACAAGAGATACCACAGCAATAAAACAACTAAACAAGATGTGCTGTCGATCTATTTTAGCTTTCGACATTCTAATATCTAAAGAATAAAACGCGATTAAATAATTATTAGCTAAACATTGCCTATAGACCGACGAGCCCGTCAAAAACTAATGTGTTTAAGTTTAATTTCAAATTCACAAGCCGTGTAAGATGATACAACTAAAAACAGTATTAAACATAGGTAAAATGTGATAAATTCAACGAAATGAGTTATTATGAAAAACGTTGACGCCCAATCCATTGACTGCCTTTGTTCTTTGTAGGTTACTGTGGGAAAGAGAACGGTTTACTGGTAAAATAGTGCATAATTTTTTATACTAACGTTTTCTTAACGCGTTTCAACATCCTTGCCTTCTTCTTAGCAGGGTAACCGGCGTAAGCCAATAGAAGCTCGGCAAAGTCTGCTTCCGTTATGCGACCATTGTCATCTGAAAGATATAAAATATTTTTACAATAGATATATAGCTACGAACCGCTTCGTCAATCTAGCGCTTATTGCATTTGAGTGAAATTTTTATTATCGAAGTACTTTTTGCATCTAGTAACGCAATCTAGAAACTGTCACAATGATAAAGATCACGAGGTGTCGGGTTCGAGTCCTAAGTATGCCAAGTTATTGTCTTCGTAATTATCTTAGTACGAGCCCGGAGTTGTGCCTCGGATTCCCGGTTATCGCTACTAATTCACTGGATACTTTTAGAATTTATTTATATCTATTTGGCAGATACACGAAAAGCTTATGCATTAAATATACCATGTAATTAAGAACGTCATCAACACAAATCCTTATATATTAAGATAAATGTAAGCACAACAATTATTTCACCTGGCTGTTTCCTCTGAAACTCGAGCGACAGAATCTCTTTCTGAAGTTGATGTTGGAAATCCAAAAACTTCTCAATAGTCAATTTCTCATTGAGCTTCGGTCCAAAGAAATATGTCGTTAGGGCCGAGTTAATGCCCTGAAAATATATTATTTTAAGGCAACTCAGTAATCAAAGTAATTTAAAGTAGATATTATTTTTTATAATCTGTTAACAATTATGTAGTAATACTGATGCCGCACAAATCTACGAATATATTCAGACTCGTTGGTCTAATCGTAGCAATATCAACGGGTCGTGAGTCCGATCCCCACAGGATCTAACATGTTTGTAATTTTTAAATTTATGATTTTGTCTGAAACATGTTGGACTTCTTCTGGAAATCTGGATATTGAATGGGTGGTAGGAATATAGAAAATCCGTCCAGGTCATGCAGTGTCCACAGATGAAAATACGTGAAGTTTAATCACGTTTCGGTTTCAGTCTATGGATTTCCGAATATCCAAAGCACAAATAGGTCGACAGCGCACCTTCCTTAGATGCTATTGACCGGGGTATATAACCTACCATCGAGTAAACCCCATGCGTGTCTGTCCTCCTCTATCGTTAAAAAAATACTTTGAATTTAAATTGCTTTTTTGTGACAAGGATAGCGTACAGATAATGGCTTAGATGGCTATATTCTATAAAACCTTAAAAGTATTCCCCGTATTGGCATGATCTCTATGCCTCGAACCAATGCTGCTCTGCTGGCGTATGAGCGCTGCCACCTTCTCAAACTCCTCGCAGTCCACGTCTCCATCACCGTTCAAATCGAACATACGGAAGGCTATTTCAAAGTGCCGACGCGATGCTGTAATTTTTATTTATATGTTTACGCAAAAGGAATAAGTACATAAAGACAACTAGATACTTAACTAAATCAATGTAAAAACTGCACAAGTATTTCATTTCAAAATAAACCTATAAAATTAGATTATAGGACAGAGTAAAGTATATTTAAACAGTTTTTTTTAAGTTTTAAACTAAAAACACATGTCGGTTTAAAACTTGAAATTTACGCAAAAGTTTTCGAAACATAATTTCCGGTCATAGTTATTAAAACAAGTGAACTAATATATTTCGCGTTGAAAACCGTTTAATAACTTTCAAAATCATTAATAAAAAGATTTAAAAACAATTTCTTAACAAATATTATATAAAGGTAAACCAAACTTCTTTTTAATCTTATCATTAGCATCTCCTAATGATCTAAACAAAAATCTTACAATTTATAGATTTTAAGATATCAAATTCGCCAAGAATTTGGCTAAAATCTTGCTTTCATATAAGTAAACCTATTTAGGTCAATCATTTTCAACTTGGCAACTCTAATTTAATATTGCTTAATGACGCGTTAAAGCATTCACGAAAGGTAAATAAAGAAAAAGCCACGAATCTCCGTCGGAATGATAAAAATCATTAAAACCGCTCATGCTCCGTACGTTCGGATGCTGCGTCCTCTCACTCCAAACACCGGACGAAACACGAAGTGATAACTTTTGAAAACATGCGATCCATTTAATTCGCACCACAAGCAGTTCCACTTCCACGTCTATTCTATTTTCAAAATTATCTCTTTCTTTCACACATGACGCGTCAAAATGTTATATCCATTGAAGAGGTTCCGCTCGCGGATAAATACAAAAGCCTATTATTGCTTGCGTTGTGGCGCAAAAACAGTGACTTTCCTATTTTGGGCGACCCTGTACGTGGTGGTGATGAAGATGACGCTTCTCAAGAGCAACACAGCGTCCCCGGGAAGGGATTCTTCAATGGTACCTGACAATTACACTAAGTGGCTGGTAATATACCTCTACCTCAGTTAATGTTTAGGATGGACACCGGTTTAACAAAGCTCCTTAGTTACAGGGACCAGTCCTAGGGGAAGATGATGAGAAAGGAGATTTATCTGATGAATGGAAGGACCCAGATAACGCGACGCTGATGGAACTCGAGAACAGATCCTTACGGGTCCAAGAGACCTGCCGCCGTTATTCACTTCAATCTCAACCTATTAACAGTAAAGAATTCTTCGTGGATCACGCACATAATCTTGTGTGGTGTAACATATTTAAAGCTGCAAGTTCGTCTTGGTTGTATAAATTTAATATATTAGGTGAGTCATTAAAATTTTGATCTAAAGCTAGAAAACGCCAGCAATGGTTTGTCGTTGTCGTGTTGTGTATCAGGTTATAATTCAGTCTGTTGATTTCTCAATTGGACATCAAAGCCAAATTCGGTTTAGATGTTATATGGCTGGTACCTTCCATGAAGTAAACATCATACTTGTCTGTACTTCTCCAAGTATAAAATATGAATACTAAAAGTACGTTTTCAGGTGGCTATGAAAAGAGTTTTTTATCGCGAAGTAGATATACACCGCTGACATTGGCGCGCCGAAAATTTCCTCGACCCAGCGAAGATGAGCTACGAGACGCAGTGAACACTCCTGGTGTAATATCTCTCTTGGTGGTGCGGGAACCATTCGTCAGACTCCTATCAGCATACAGGGACAAGTTGGAGAACATAACACCTCCGTTCTACAGAAAACTGGCAAGGACCATAGTAGCGAAGCACAGAGAAGCAGCAACGAAGATTCTAGGAAACATCAAAAGTTTTGGACCAACTTTTTATGAATTTACCGCATACTTAATAGCTAAACACAAATCTAGGACTATCACTTTTGACGAGCATTGGGCACCGTATTACCAATTCTGCTCCCCATGTGCAGTAAATTTCACTGTCATATCTAAAGTGGAGACGCTATCTAGAGATGCCGCGTATGTTGTTCAACAACTTGGTCTCGGACACCTGTTGAGCCGCCGAGTAAAGGACCGGAGAACACGACTGCGGACCGTCATGAACAAATCGCGTGACGGAAAAAACACATCGGCCTTGCTCAAATACTATTTCGGTCAGATCGATAGGAGTATGCTCAAAGATTTGTTGGATATTTACGGTATAGACTTTGATATGTTCGGTTATGATTCAGATGTTTATTATAGTTATGTAAGAAAATAAATTATATTTAATTAAATTGTTACCTACTGTTTCTTTAATCCAATAATTTATTATTTGTTGGTAAACGTTTTCATTATTGTCTGTGGATTACGCAAGAAGTATCAATAAATTAAAAACTTTTAACTGCTTTTAAACACAAAATATATAAGTTAAATTCTTGCCCCAGACCATGACAGATGTAGGGCATCCGAAACAATAGTCAATATTTCATGTTAGGATGAATGTTATTTAAAACCATTTTAAATTATTTTTTATGAAAAAAAATTAAGATCATAATGTAAATAACTTACTTGATAGCACAGTCAATAGGAAGATGTAGTCACTAAATGTGATCAGTCCCGAAGAACCGAGCTTGTAGAATATAGAATCTTCATCCAGATCCAAGTTGAGACGTTGGCTGATTGTCTGAATAGAGAAAATAGTTCAGAATTTATCGACACCATAAGTAAATAATAAATGTAAGCGTACCTACAACTACCTTATAATTCTACATGGCATTTTCACTAACTTGTACTCAGGGGTAAGAAATCTATACCAAAAGCCCTAATATTTAGGAAAAAGCTTTGTTGGCTACCTAATATAAATCTAAGAAGCTTTTCATTACAGAACGCGGAATTAAGTCCTTTCATCAATAAATACAAAAAGATATACAGAATAGGTGCATGCCGCTATTACTAACTTCTTCCATTACTCAATAGAAGGTATATCTGATCTACTTTAGAATATGTGTACTAAAAGCATAGGCTAATGTGTCTCTAATTGTGAACTCTAGTGGTTCCTAGGTCAGTACGATATCTAGCACAGGACAATATTATTTAGAAAAAATCTGTGCAGAGAATACAGAATTAATTATACAAAGAGCGGTAGAGAGAATGTGAAGAGGCGATAGAAGTTACCTCATTGATGTTCTGAAAAGATAAGAAATCGGTGTAAGTAGCTTAATAGATTGTGAAGTGCTAGAGTGTGTAGAGCAGTCTAAACTAAAACACCAAACTGCAATTATGGAAATTATTGTGAAAACAGATTGTTAAAGAAGAAACAAAAATACTGTTCAACCTAATACTGTTTATAACAGAGATATCCAATACAACACAGTGCAACAATTTATAGCTTAGTAGGCTTCCTGTAATATTGGATATACATAATTAAGCTAAGACATTATTTAAGACTGGCTTGAAGAAAGGAACAGGTTCAATTTATGCTCAAAAAATTAAAACAGCTTTTCTCACCTTTGGATCATATCTTCTGTATTGGTCCAAACCCAAACCTGAAAATAAGAGGAATGATTATAACAATGATTACTCTACTACAATCTCTATAAATACTACTTTTACACAACACACTTTATCTTTTTAATTTATCTCATTACCATCAGGTTGTTTAACTCCTGGTGTCATTGAGCGAAGGAAGTCATCTGGGGTCATAAAGACTTCATGCTGGTCATGATGCTGAGCTTGAAGAGTAGCAAAGTAACGAAATACCTTGTCTGGTGTTGAGTATTGACGCATACGATTTTCATATTCAATAATCTGATTCAAGCAGCGTCCACAAAAATATACATAATTTAGATGTTATCAATTTTCTTTACAGTAGCAAAAAGGAAGAAGTAATGTTATTTCAGTACATAATGAAATTTTATTTTCTTAGTAATATTTTAAAATATGTGGATTTGTGATTGTTAATTATAAAGCTTTAAGCACTATTGACTTATAATATTTATATTGTTATATAATTAAGACTAATCATATTTTTTCTCTATCTTCTAAATAACAATATTATGTATCAATTAGACCGTTTGGGGTATTGGACAAAACAAATAAAGTGATGATTCAGTGTTAAATTATATATATAAACAGAAACATAATAGAGAGAAAAAACTATATCAAAATGCAAATAAGAAATACCATCTGGTTGTTTCATTCCTGGTGTGATGGCTCTCAGAAAATCGTCAGGTGTCATATACACTTCAGTGTTCTCACCATATGTCAGTCTAACAGTAGCAAAGTATCTGAATATTTTGTCAGGAGTAGAATAGGACCGCATACGATTTTCATATTCAATAATCTTAAATAAATTTTAAAAAAGCAATACATAAAACTATAAGACATAAAATATATTAAACTTAAAAATAGTGTTACAACCAGGTTTACCTTTCTATCTCTAAAGCCAATTTTCTCTTTTTTAAACCTTTTCTTTCTTGTTTCGATTTCACTATCCGAGTCTGATTCTGACTCTGATACTTCTTCTGCAGCCGTTATAGATGGAAAAATTTGATTATTCATACTAAAAATTAAGAAAAAATCAGCATTTACTGTTATTACTAAATTCTTCCTCGCCAATTTAGATTATTAATGAAGCTTTTAACGGGACCATGCCAGGGATAGAAGCAACTGAAACATATTTATCACTATAATGTGGTGTAAATGTATTCACTTACCCAACATTAAAAACTGTATATGCACCAGCACCAAACAAAATTGAATATAACAACAATTTGTGTGGATGTATTTGTGCTTTTTTATTCGTGTGGTAGTTCAAGTATTGTTGCCGATAATAGATTTTCTTAACCACAGGAGCTGTCATTATGGGTACATTATGCAGCTGATTTTTAGCCAAAAAGGCTAATTGTTTTGGATTTTTCATAAAAATAGAATACATCTCGCTCAGTTGTACAATTAAGTTCGATTACTTAAGAAAGTAATTATTTTTAAAATTGTGAAGCCAAATTACACTTCATTGCGACATTTTGAAATTATAATCAATTAATGCCCGCTTCCAATGTTAATTTTTAATAATGTTTTTGGAAATTAAAAATATGAGTATTTTTAGGTTTCTAATGTCAAAGTCAAATAGACATTTTACTTATAGACATTAGAAACTCGGTAAACAGATGATACACACAGCACGGATACAATAAATATAGCCGTAGTAGTATAATAAACAAAAAGAAAAGATCACGTTATCCACACTTTGTCACTTAAAATGCAGATTCTTTCAGTGTTTCATTTTTAAGCTACGGATACGCGTAAGAATTGTAGAAAAAAAATAATATTGAAACTTTAAAAACATCGAACTAAGGCATTTAACAACTGCCCGGTAATTGTTTGTAGTTTTATTTGACGTGTATTATTCGTGAATAGCATTAACATAATTTTTATACTAGTATGTATTGACATTATTACAAACATTTACTATTTATAAATAGTTCTTATTATTTTAATAGAATTCTTATTTATTGCTATATGTATTAAAAGTCATCTTTTATATCTTAGATTATAAAAATCGAATAACATATGTATGTATTTTCTTTTACCGTCGGCCACATAAAAACACGTTTAAACATGTATATACTATAATATGAAAAAATATTTCACACTTTAAGTACATTTTATATCTATTCTGATCCTATAATGTGTTACAAAGCACAATATGAATAGCTAAGAAACATACACTTAATAAAAAACAATCAAATTATTATTCTATGAAAAGGTTCATGAAAAAAATGTGTTACCAACAAAGCCACATAATAATAATAAAAAATAATAAGTTTTTTGTTACATTTGATACATGATGTATAAATTGGTGCTTATTTTGAACCAAACTATTTCCAATTTTTAATATATCGTACCTTGTCGTACCAAAAACTGACTATAATAATTTTAGTATTTTTTTTCATGTCAGTTTCAAATTTTAGTACTGGCAACTTTGTGCGTTAGGATTTCGTTTCTCCTTCTCTGTATCTCGTTCACTCAATCCATCTGTGGGGGAGGAAAAGCTCGAAATTATTGAAAATAAGATGTTACAGAATTTAATTTGTGAAGTTTAAAATTGTTTAGTATTGTAGTAGAAATTCATTTAGCGTTGAATATAAATCAATATCATCCTTGAAAATTTTGGAAAAGAAACGTACATATTTTATTTTTGCCAGTGTTCAGTGCTAACATTACAATTTCTACGTAATAGAAAGGTGCGTGTTATGTAACCTTGAATCACGGGATCCTATGTATTGATCCTCAAATTAAAAGGACACTTACCTTTATTTACGGTATGTATTTTATTAAAATATGTTTTATTTTCATATCGCCCTTATGGGATGTCGGCGGCGAAATTATTACGACTCTTATCTTCTTTATCTTGATAATATTATTTTAAACACGAAAGCGATATTTTTAATAATAAACATTCGACGTAGTTCATCATTCATAAGAAAAATATTGCGATAAAAAAGGTAAAAATATAACCTTGAACTTATATGGCAAGCAGATGGGCTAGTTTAAAAAAAACCTAAAACGCACTAATTTTGAGACAATTATAAACAAATAATTATTGTTTCTTACCTTTGAATTGGTATTATAACTTGCATATCACATTTTTGCATTGTAACAAGAACTAATCTGTTCTTTCTAGAATTTAGATTAAAAAATTAAACTACGTGTATAATTTTGGTAAATTATAAAATACAATAAGAATTAATAATTTAAATAATCACCTCAATAGTTTTTTGCTGTGTTGTTTGTTCATAAAACCAAACAACACATAGTTTAACTATGTCAAAGTAAAAGAAACTTAATTGTCCTATAAGTAGTGCATGTTTTGTCAATGTGCCAGATTCTATGACATTGTAACTAACAGCGTGACCCACTTTCTAGTATCTGTCTTATTTATTAATGTATTATAATTATAAACCCCATCACTTGGTTATACTACCAATTTTTATTTAATAAATATATATGACAAGTTGAAAATTTTCAATTCAATTATTATTAGTGGGTCATCTGCAAATTGTGTCATAGGTTTAAATCAGGGGGTTATAATTTTAGTCCTGAATCAATACAGTAAAGCACATAAGAACTGAACATTTTTTCGTTTTAAATAAAATCTTATCTTATCTAATGTACAATGTTAGGCGTCTGCCCCATACCCCATCATATGCATTCTTATATGCATATGATAAAGAACTTCACTTTGTTTAAGTGACAAATATGGCTTTTATATTATTATTGTTTTTGACAGATTGAAAGTTTCATTAAATACTGTGACTAATTATTGGACACTATGCATCGGGCAAGAGTAGTACTTCAGGCTTCAAGTAAAATCGGCAACTCTGAAAGATTTGCATCATGGCTCATCAAAAACCCACAGGTAATAATTATTCTTTTGTTCACTCCTAGTCACCGCAACATTGTTGACATGATAAGGAAATATCAGATAAAGAATTCACATTAACCCATCACTGTTATTTGAGACACTTCTTATCAGCATAATGTATCTTGGTGAAAATTTTTGATGACGCAAAAGGCCCTTCTTGACTAGGCTAGGAAGGTATGGCTAGTCTTACCGTACCTTACCAAAATGTTGTCTTACCGTACCTTATCAAATTGTTGTATGAAATTTGAAACTTAACTCTTCAGAAGAAAATAAACAGAACTGAATGCAGTGGTTGCGACTGGGAGTGTAGCCCATGTAATATTTTCAATTTAAACAAATTTATTAAAGACGGTTTTATTCTGTCACCTAGGCTGTAGCTATGACAATAAACGCCAACCGGCTGAAGAGTTCAACTGCAGCAGAGCCTTTCCTCAATGGGTCCAGCTCGGCTTATGTCGAGACTATGTACAACAACTGGCTAACAGATCCCAACTCTGTACATGCTGTAAGTGCTATATTTCTTAAACATATCATATGGTTCTTATTTTGGTATACCTAGTTTTATAAGCTGCATTACGGACATTCTGGTCTTACGCACAAATTTCGAAATGTATATTTTTGTAGTATTAATAATTTTGAAAAATTTAAATGTTTCATAACATTTTCTGAATTTATTACTTTTAAATCTATATATTTATGACCATAAATAAGATATTAAAGAGTAATATAAATTAAAATTATCAGTTTGATCAAAAAATACGCTTTGTAAGGCTTTAAAATTACGATTGTATCACATTTATTATAAATACTAAATATATTTTAAATCTTATAATAATATTATATAGCTAATTTAATTTATAACAATAAATCTTATTTGAAAGTTATCGTCAATTTAAATATTACACGTGGATTGGGGGCATAATAGCGTTTGTCTATATCGACAGACATACTCTTTGAAAAGCTAGGATAAGACAAGCCTAAAGGTGAATTAACACAATTCTTTGCGTCCTAAATAAAAACCTACCCAAATCAATGTTGTATTGTTCCGCCCTAAAAAGTAATAGTTAATCCGACAAACTTTCTTTTGATATTTGCTAGTAATGAATTAATTTCGACCAAGTTTGAACACCATAACAGCGGTTCTTGCGAATTAAAAGGTAGACATTTTTATAGCTATTTTAAAGAGGAATCATATTTAATGTTTTCGCAGCGCACACAACGGATGTCCCCAACGGTTAATTTTTTTTTCCCGGTTGTCTCCACTATTCTCTCTGTGTTTTGCACCTATTGGTCTCAGCCTGATATTTTAGGCCTTCCTTGATAAATGGCCTATCCAACACAAAAATATTTTTTCAGTTCGAACTAGTAATTCCTGAGATTAGCGCGTTATTATCGATATAGATGTATACTACGCAATTTAAAATAAAGCCGAAACGAGCGGCTTGTAAAGGGACGTCGTGTTTTACCAATTGACAAGCTAACACAATCCAGTTTAGACCTGAATCTGTTTGACTTAATCTAAATAAATATCCAAATCGCTCTAAGATCATATGCAAGCTTCAAGTCACGAGTTTCTGTAAAATAGCCTTCACATCGACTCGCTTTGTTAAATCTTCTTAATAGCGAATTAAATGTTTATTTTTAGAAAATACACCATTTAATTAGTGTGAAAGGTTATCAAGAGTGTGTTAACCAAATTATAGTAACCGGGATGAGAGTTTGCTCGACCTTTTGGCTCTATCTTATCATGATTGTTGAACTTTGCGCTCGTTGTAAAAGAGGTGTGTTGTGTTTTAATTTTGAGAGTAGATTAAAGTAATTTTTGTACGCTCAGTAACTCGGGTGTATGTTCGCATTGCGTAAGAGGTTCTAAATTCAAATTTCGGGAAAATATATAGATTATAAATTTAAAATTTTACTTTACACAGTATGTAGATCTATGCGAATGATATTCATTTTTAAGTCACGTGTAATTAGGAATTTTTACTTAAAACATGGTCATAAACATTGTAAACATGTTTGTTTGTCTGTTTAGTCATGGGACGCATTCTTCCGCAACGCAACTAATGGCGCGCAACCCGGTGTCGCCTATACACCGCCGCCAAACCTCGCGCCCTACGCTAAAAACGAAGTGCCCTTGACGTCACTTATTCCAGCATCCGGAGGCATGCCATCTATCGCTTCTGGTAAGTACTGTTAACTTATTTTACCAGTATTTAAGTAGTAATAAATGCCTTCACTGGGCATTTATTTACACTTATGCTACCTAGCTGTGTACTATTTGGAACGTAAATTAAATAAAAATCAAAATTTTCTGCCCATGTTAAGATCAAATTCTTAGAAAAGATGAGGAAAAGTGGAATGACTTCGCAAATTAATCGCAAATCTATATACAAAAAAATCTAACGAAAATGTACTTTGATCTTGTGAGAATTTTGCAGACTATTTGGTATTATTAAATTTTCTTATTCCGCGCATAATGTATTTATGTCTACATAGAGATATTACGTAACAGTATTCAGTTAATAATAGGATACAAACATTTGTTACGCTTCTTTCATTTATCCTATTTAACGAAAACTCTTTTAATCTTAAGCCTTAAGCCAAATGATTGTGGGAATGATAGTCTGTATTTGAAATTTTGACGGCCTCATTGGTGTAATGGTACCAATGTGCCACTGGCTAATAATGAACGGGTCGTGCCTCCAAACTTCACCGGGTCCCAACATTTACCTAATAAATTCATAATACTTCTGAAACATGTTGGGCTTCGTCTGGAAATCTGGATATTAAATGGGTGGTAGGAATATCGAAATTCCGTCCGGGTCACGGACCATCGTCCACAGATGAAGAAGCCAGTTTAATTACGTTTCGGTTTTAGTCTATGGATTTCCGAATATCCAAAGCCTGGCTGGGGTCATTTACTAAACTAAACTATTTGGTAAATGGCCTTGCATATACATATATCGCTTAGCGACAGATATTCTAATATCGTAACCAAACATATTTTGGTTGGATTTGTCCTACACTGAATCTCTATCTACTAATCTAACTGTGGACACAATAATGTTTATCCTTTGGTACATCGCCTTTTAACAAGTAATCTTCCGACAGGCTCCCCAATCAACGAGAAGATAATCGACGACCACCTAGCTGTCCAAGCCATCATCCGAAGTTACCAGGTGAACAATGTTCTAATTACCAATGCACAACTAGCCCACAATTATTATTATTTGCACATCCAACACCCCTATAATAGTCGATAGATATTCGAGTCGAGCTCTCGGGAATTTTGACGATGCGTGTATTTTTACACTTCAATAAACATGGCAACATAAATTAATCACATATGAAACACAATGACCCGTATTTGGGATCAATTGAACTAATATTTTGGTAGAACATTCTAGCACTGTGTTGTGTTGGGATGTTTAAAAATGTACATAATTGGCACTCGGGTGAGCGCGCCCGTTTGATTGACACGATCTAGCGACGCATATGTTATTACGATAAAGAAAGTAAACAACGTTCTAGAAATATATAAATTTACTGCCTTAGTAGTCGAATGCATTGCCTAAAGCGAGAGAGGTCCTTAGTCGATTCGAGAATAATTAATATCAGTCGATAAGGTATAGAATATTTTATCAAAAACTTGTCTGTTACGTACAAAACATAAATGTTGAAAGTAGCTTACGTTAATCACTTACAATATAAATCAATGAATTAAAGTATTTAATAGTACACTTTAGTGGTATTAGTTAAACAAATATATATTGCGTTTTAAACCGTTAAAGTATTTTATTTAAATGTGTACTATTCGCGTAAACTAGACAGTATTTATTTTAATACTATTGATTAACGAATAACCTTTCATTTTCAAAAACTTAATTTTGTAATATACTTCGATATGACGTAATTCCTTTAGTAGGAGTGTTTTATCATGATAAAAAAAAATCACAAACGTGATAATTGAATAAATAAAAAACGTCACGTTTTATATATCGCTAGCCGATTGGGATAGGATGTATTTACGAAATGTTATGACGTAATATGAAGCCGCTAGAGGCAGAGTAGCCTAACTGCAATTCTTATGACTTGACTTATTTATATTTTTGTAGTCTAAAAATGTTAATCTACAATAGGACAGTGACCGATAATTGTTACTATAGTTCTTACTCAAATAATAGTACGAATTTACTTTCGCCGAAGTTAATTTTCCTCCTTGTTGAAAATCATGTTTTCGGTATTACACCACTCTGCCTTTAGCAGCCTCATATACATACATTTTGGAGGTTATTCTGTACTCTTAAATCTTTAGATATAATTAAAAAAATGTTACAAAACGAAAGGATAGTGGATTAGGATTAGGAAGTGTCGTTGGGTCGTGTTGCATCAGGGCTAATGTGAGTGGTGGGGGGTGACAGGCTCGCGGGCACCTGGCCGCCGACGTGGACCCCCTGGGCATCACGACGGCTAACCTGCCCCAACTGGGCATGCGCGCGCCGAGTTCCGAGCTCATCATGAGGAAATATTTCAATTTCGGTACGCAGCACACGCTCTCGAGACATTCGCTGCTCGGTTGGAAGCAATCACTTCTGACTTGGATGCCGACCTGTCGCTTTCTTCATCGCCAGTATTATTACATACATACGAGCTATCGGTTTTTGCGGAATTCGTAATTTGTATTTTTTTTATTTAGTCTGACAGTTTGCCCTAGGTCTGTAACTCGCCAGAATTATTTTTGGCTGATCATAGAAATGGCGTAATAAAAATAAGATGATAGTTCTTTTAAATTACTAGTTTTAATTTTACTTTAACGCCAAAACTGAATGCCAGTTGTATAGTTTTCGAACAACCTTCTTGTTTAGATATAACACGTATACTATTAGATCAGTATAATGTAACTTTCTGCTATACGGGATGCAAATTAAGCTACCACTGAGAATTTTTTCTGCATCATTAGTACAGTTGATTTTTCTTGTTTAAGTGTTTAATTATATGATGTTCCTTAGTTAGCAAGAAGTCAATTTTGAAACTTGTTTAAATTACGAATTCCAAAATATCGCCGAGTGATTGTTTTCAATTCATAACGCGTATTTAGAAGCATTGTTTTATGCGCCTAATAAATAAATGTTAATGAACAATTTTAACGGGTTCAAACGTGAACATTTATTACTTGAAGATTTTTTCTATATTTATTACTATCCAATGTTGTCGATCTTAGGTAATATAGTTCGCGTTTCAATCTCTTTAAATTGTTTCTTTTAATCTATACCACTCGCGTGAACTAACTAGACGTTTGAATGTGCGTCTACCGTGTTTTGCATGTATGTGATAATATCAGCATTGTGTTCAGAAGATTTATTTTGCTGTAGTCTTGTTTAGACTTTATGGTTTGATTATTAGCGACATATTTGATAGAATGGCTGTTAACGTATAATACTGATCATAACATAATCTCTAGAATTTCAATTAACTACATTAGCAGAGCGTGTTTCGTACTAATAACATTGACATGCATCCTCAGACCGCTAAGAATTGCTAGTCTCAATATGATAAAGAGGTATTTTTATATTTTCCTTTTTATTTATGCCAAATACCTAGGGTACGACAATGATAATTATTCTTATCGCTTTTTGTTAACCATTGGTGGTTTTTTGTTGCCGCGTCGTTAGGAATGGTGTTAAACAATTTATTGGTAAAATGTTTAATTGAACTTAGTTATTATTGCTGAATAACATGTACAGCATTAATTTGAATTTAGAATTTCCAAAATTTCACGTTATTCATTTGAATTTGAAAATCGAAATATTTCAAGGTCTTAATTTGAAATTGGAATACAAATGTTATCTCCTTATTGGCGAACTCTTCGTATTTCTATCGTTTTATAATTATAAAGAAATTCCCATAATAGTCGCGCGGTCATCTTGTGGCGAACCTCGACCCGCTGGGAATAACGACAGGGGACCCTGTGTCCAGCGGCGACTGGCACGGTGGGCTACGAGCCTTCGCCAACGAAGCGGTCATTAGACAACACGTGCGATTCGGTATGATTCGGAATTTTGACGTGATGCGCTTGATTCTTAAAATCTTCTTGATCGATCGAATACCCCTGTCCTATACATTCCATTTTTTTTTAATTTGACTTTAAGACTCAACACTCACCTGAATGATAAACTATCAAGAGAAAATTCCAGTCCATGATTGCGTGTCCACCAAAGGATTACCTATTGCTTACTCTATTGTCTTCTTAAAAAAAGATATAATTTTATAAAGAACTCTCTAGAAAAACAAGACATTGAAAATGTTATCTACGGTTTCCGCAAAAGTGTATCTTGCATATCAGTTATCGTACATGGAAAATTGATAATCTTTATCTCGTGTTTAGTCTTTACAATCTCAATAGGGCACGGTCAGGGGCTTTGATCGTTTTAGATTAGGTTTTTAAGTCTCAATCCGCGCCCACGTCTAGTAATGGGGGAAAAATTGTAAAGGTTTCTCAGCTTCGCAGTAGATTTATGCTTTACTTAGGCTTAAAGGACAGCAACCTATCGGTGTTGGGGTTTTTTACCTATACTTATCGACATGGTTGTTGGTTAAGCAGATCGTCTTGGCTTTGATGAAGACACAGTTGCATGAGTAAGCAATGTACTGATGGCTTTTTGATTAAACATTTAGCGCTTCTTATTACTTGGTTAAAAGATTTAATTGAAATCTGAGACTAGCTTTTTATACTCGGTCTTATCATTCAAAATTTCTGTTTTCTTACCCATGTATTGTGATTGTCTCTGTAGATAGAATTAATATTGGCGTATATTTATTAATTCTTAAATTATCTTTAGGTAATCATATTCCTTTACTAGTTTTGGAGGAAGGGGAGAAGTTTTTGTCAACATTACATAAATAAGTCTCAACTTGATGTGGGAAAAATACATAATGACAAGTGTGAATAGGTTAATATACATCTATAATGACTACAACACATAATTTACAAAAGCGATGAAGGTTTTATTGTTAATGTACATATGTTTAAGTGCATAAGACAATACTCGAATATTTATTTATTATTACACATGAGTTACGATTGCCACTATTGTGAAATTTATTAAATTATGTGATAAGTTATCGTGCACTTGCAACGTACAGTATAAGAATACGGTATAAGTGTACATTATTGTATAACATTTATTTTAAAGAGTATAAAATTGTAGTGTATAAATGAGGAGTTGGGTTTATTTTAATGTATTTTAAACTTCTGAAGATATTCACTGTTACATATCAAGCATGTTTATAAAAAATACGCAATAATAAAACTTATAATATCAATGCTTAAAACTCACATCAGATATATAGCGAGAATACCATCCCGATCTTGTTTTTATCACGTCTATATCCATTTTACTTTTGCTTATTATCTCATTCGTTTGAAACGCCGCGTGACTTAACCGAACGATTTGCTCTTGTACTCTTACTAAACAAGAAATAACTAAAAAAAACAGATTCGCGGCCACCATATAGCGAAACTGGACCCATTGGAAATAGCAAACTTCAATACGGCTGAAAAAAATCCTCGAGAAGTGATATACAACAGCTACAGGTTTGGTAAGGACTAAACCTAGCCCCTGCCTTGCACCCCGGCTGCTAGACTGGCCTGTAGTTATGGCGACCATACCACACATTCTTTATTTTCTGTTGCTACGTCCTCTTGAGCCCCATTCTTCTCCCTTGCCCGAAAACGGCCCATGCGCACCTTTAGTTGAAACTATCAAATCATCAAAAACACTAAATAAAATATGTTGATGTTGGCTGCCATCTAAATAGTCAGTCAGGTCGTTGTCAAAAACTAACTTGAATATATTTAGGGTTTAAAATTGTCAAAAGTGAAGTCCAAAACGTAGATTTACGTTTTACATCGGTAAAACGTTCTATTTAATATATCTTTTTATTTAAATAGCGGTAAACTACAGACAATACTTTAATCTATTAGTTCAATTGTTTTTAAGCCGTTGTGTTAACTAGAAGTTGTATTGAAGTTGATACAAACTAAATTTAGCCTGGGTCTCAGGAGGATTTTTTATTATGGTTTTGGGCACGCTGTAACTACGGGGAGTTGGAATGTGATGCGACGCACGAGACAAGGTCGCACGCATCACTAAATTGTACTCATTTACACTATGCATGATTTCGTGACATCGCCCAGACCTTGTTAACAAGCATGATTATGCATGGCCGTATTGCAATCATACTATATATGTAACATATAATGATAAGGGTATATATATCTATTTATAGTTGTCTGTCTTTGTACATGGTGAAACTATGGCAGCGATCCGCGGAGTGACCTTGAGTTTTATATTTAGGTTTCTCTGGTTCTGGATACCATCCAAATGTGTTGTACGATCCCAAGGTGGATAGGAAAGTGAAAATGTTGAATTCATTATGTCATACATCATTTTTTCGTCATGTTGGTATTTTATACACTCTGGGTATTATCTGGACTCATGTCGAGCTTGGAAAGGGTAAACAACGTAGGCCTGAGATGCTAGTAAAGGGATATGATTATAGTCGCTTATTTTGTGTGCTTTGATCGCAGTAATACCGCGCTTTATGTGAGGGATACGTTTAAAAAATTTATCGCGTTATCTTTAATTCGTATACTCTGCTACTACGATTACTAAAGGGACGGGGAATCCCCGTTCCAAAGGGATTGTGGATTCCCCCAACTAAATAAATCCATTTTGCTTATACATATTATTTCGCGTTTTACGAGTGGTTTTAACATTTGAAATTAGTAAGATACGTAAATGTCAAACGAAGTTCAGATCAATTCGAAAATGGAACTGCACAAAATGATGTCGCGTTCAGCGCGGTATTACTGTATTCGTAAATCCTATTGGGAGCATATCCGTAGAAAGAGAGGGTTTAGTAAAAATGGTTTGCTCTTATGAATCACTTTGCGTTTTAGATGAAGCCGATATGGATAGAGTTTTCAAATTGCCATCGACAACTTTCATTGGCGAGAAGGAAAAAGCCTTGCCGTTGAGGTAAATGATTTTATTCATACAAAAATAAAAACTATTTAATTTTCTTTGCCGTCACAAATTAACTCCACAATCGATTAATAGATACAGCCAGGAAATATGTTTGATAGTAAAAGATGACAGTTTACAAAATAATGCTGCATGCTAAGAAACGTGTTAAATGTATTTTTTTTATGATAGAGGACAGACATGGCAGACTTGATGGTAGGTGATATACCCCGGCCTATAGCATCTAAACAAGCTGCGCTGTCAGCCTATTTTGGCTTTGGATATTTGGAAATCCACAGACTGAAACCGAAACGCGGTTAAGCTTCACGACATTTAATCTGTGGACGGACGGAATTTATATATTCCTACCACCTATTTAATATCCAGGTTAGCAGACGAAGTGCAACATGTTTCAGAGACATTAGTAACACGATAGACCTGGTGGGGATCGAACCCACGACCCATTGATCATTAGACCAACCAAAATGAAAAGTTGATTATTCTCATACTATCTAAATTATATCGCTATTAATTGGAAAGGAAGGCTGTCGTTTCCTCTATCCAACGCTAACCTCCGTTTTTTATTTATTTTTTGTCTGTACGTAAAATACTAATTCTTCAGAGAAATCCTCAACCGCTTAGAACAGGCTTACTGTAACAACATTGGAATCGAGTTCATGTTCATAAACTCGTTGGAACAATGCAACTGGATCAGGCAACGGATGGAACCCCCAAACGTGACGAAGATGAGCAATGACCAGAAACGATTGATCCTGGCCCGTCTTAGCAGATCAGCTGGGTGAGAATATGAATATAGAACGATTGAGGCCGCTAGAGGCAGAGTGGCCTAGCTGCAAATTTATGACTTGGCTTATTTACATTTTTATAGTCTAAAAATATTAATCTACAGTGACCGAAAATTGTAATTCTTACACAATTAATAGTAGAAATTCATTTTAGCCTGATTTAATTGCGCGTTTTTTTTTGTGTATTGCAAGAGCCAAAATTCGGCCACACTGGCTCTAGCAGCCTCAAATGTATAGCGAGCAGAAACAACCCCGATAAGAGTGCGGCAATCTACTTCACTCGTAGTCCCTTCACTACTGTCACTAAACCGTGCAGACGCCCCGCCAATGTCAAGCTTTACGGCGAAGACATTCCGTGGCAGAAATCCACAAAATACCTAGGCGTCACGCTTGATAGTCAGTTAAACTTTCGAGCACATGTCCGCTCTGTTTCGCACAAAGCCAACTACGTCATGAGTAGGCTTTATCCCTTGATTTGTGCGCGTAGCAAACTGTCCCTCCGACATAAGGTTACGCTGTACAAAACTTGTATTCGTCCGATTCTCACCTACTCCAGCGTCGCGTTCGCCCACGCCGCCCCTAGCACACTCCGCAAGCTCCAGTTGCTTCAGAATCGGTTCACTCGAACCGCTACCGGAGCCATCTGGTGCGTGCGGAATGCTAATCTACACGCCGATCTCGGATTACCGACCCTCAGTCGGTACTTCAAGGAAACGTCCGAGCGTTTCTTCAAAAAAGCCGCGACGCATCCGAACCCACTGGTGGCCCGGGCCGCCAACTACACCGTTCCCGTCAACACACGCTGGAGAAGGCCGCGTAACGTTCTCTCCGATCTCGCTGACAACTTAACCACAGCCGTCGAAACCCTCGTCGCTACGCGATCGACCGGCACCGGTGCCGATCGGCCGCAAAACCGCCTACGCCGGCGTAGGCGTGGTCATTCGCTACGCGTACCGCTCACCCGGGTGAGCTTCCGTCCAGCTCTTCAAGCTCCCACCCGCATTGCGGCGGTCCAAGCCGAGGCCGTTGCCCCCCTCGGGGCACCCTTGGTCTAGCCGCAAACACGGCGAGCGCTCTCGCGCTCGCCCAAAACGCCCGGTTAGTATTCGTGGCTCCATAGGAACACAATACGTAATAGTCCATTCAAAAAAAAAAAAAAGCGAGCAGAAATCGATTATAAATTGAAAAATTTTACGACCCCGGACAGGACTTGCTTGCAACAGCTTTCCGTGCTGTTGCTATACCCAACTGACCTACCGTGTCCTATAATTTTAAAACGAATTTTTCAATCTATTGGTACATGCACTCTTTTAGCGCCGATGTCGTAATTTTATTAAAATTCATAATCGATTTTTAATTTATATAGTGTCACTATGTGAGAAGTATTACATTTCATATGAGTAGATTTTTTTCATTAAAAGAGCAGATTGTAGTGTTGTACGTTTACATTTGGTTCGATGCAAATATCGAAAAATTTACAGATTTGAAAACTTCCTGGCCAAGAAATGGTCTTCGGAGAAACGTTTCGGTCTTGAGGGGTGCGAGATTCTCATTCCGGCAATGAAGCAAGTCATCGACACGTCAACTAAACTTGGCGTTGAATCTATCATCATGGGAATGCCACACAGAGGTAACTATTACGCGTTATAAACCGTTAAAGTGTTTTATCTAAATATGTACTACTTCTGTAAGCTATAGACAGTATTTAAGATGTAAAGATTAAGACTGCCAGGAAGTTATTGGTTTACATATCAATTTGTAACCAGTGGCTGTCTGAAAAAAAAAAGAAACAATTGGTAACCAGTTCTCAATCTGTTCTAAAACTCTTTTAGGTCTATATAAATAATAAAAGACACAATGTGTGTCCGTCCCATCAGTATATATTACTTGCATTCTCGTATTTATAAAATCTTGTCCACTTTCAGGTCGCCTCAACGTATTAGCTAATGTGTGTCGTAAACCACTTCACCAGCTCTTCACTCAATTCGCTGGACTCGAAGCTGAGGATGACGTAAGTTTTTAATTATTTTTATAGAGATTACTATATATAGCTTATGTCGTTTTTTACCGGAACTGAAAAACCATAATATTTTTTGTCATCCTTAACCTACCGTTTAAATAAAACACTTTAAAATTATTTTTAAGTTTATATAATTGGTTTTGCCCACCTTGCACATCCTGTTTTTCCCTTTTTTGTTACCTGGAAGAGATCGCTTATTAGCGATATGGCCGCCCTTGGCACTCTTAGTATATAAGACTCGTTTGTATTTTTTATTTACTTTAGTGCAATAAAGGGTCTATATATATATTAGTTCTGATAGTATCTTGTTTTTAACTTGTTTAACGGAGGCGATATATCTTGCGTTTTAAACCATTATAAATGTTTTATTTAAATGTTTACTACTCGCGTTACTCGTAGATAATACTTACTTAAAAGAATATTGTAGTGAAATCGAGGTCTTCATCTTTCCAGGGTTCTGGTGATGTGAAATATCACTTAGGTACCTACATTGAGCGTCTGAACCGAGTGACGAACAAGAACATTCGTCTCGCTGTGTGCGCTAACCCCAGTCACTTGGAGGCGGTAGACCCAGTGGTGCAGGGCAAGACTCGAGCTGAACAATTCTACAGGGGTGATAATGAGGGCAAGAAGGTACATTAAGCGTTGATGTTTTAGACCGTTTTTATTATGTGTGTTAAAAAACAGGGAACAAACAAAAATATCACAATAACAAATCATAAGGAATAGGAAGTAAAAATAAAAAATATATGAGTATTTTGTACTTTTAAAAATATATTCCTATTGAATGTAATTTTTAATGTAAAAAGAAAAGTAAGGTTATTTTTAGATTTTGTGTGTTTTAAACTTAAGAATGCCTTTTATATAAGTAAAGTTCTTTATAGAAAAAATATTGAGTTACTTATTGTCATATGTATGTAATTATTTTTTTATGCTAGGAGGACAGACAAGCTTTTAATGATATGTGAAATATCCCAGCCATATAACATCTAAACAAGATCCGTTGTCGGCCTGTTTTGGATATTAATTAGTTACTAGTTTTTGTTTGGTGTATTTGCAAACTCTGATATTAAGGACCTGTTTTCCTTTAAGGTTATGTCAATCCTTCTCCACGGTGACGCGGCGTTCGCCGGCCAGGGTGTGGTATTCGAAACCATGCACTTGTCAGACCTGCCAGCTTACACCACTCACGGTACAATCCACATTGTGGCGAACAACCAGATCGGATTCACAACTGACCCTCGTCATTCTCGATCATCTGCATACTGTACCGGTAAGTTATATCTATATCGGATATGTAACAAACAGGAATAAATGTTAACTAGAAATACGTTTATTAAAATTGAGCAGCCTGCAAGTGTTTTGCAATTATGAGAGGTTCCTAAGAAATCAAGTCATTAACTTACAAAAAGTGGAGTCTTGTATTCCCGAAATAAGTCGAGCTACAGACATATTGTCGGTTTCACGAATCAATTTCATTTATAAACAAATTACTTAACCTTAGGACACTAATAATAGTGGTTATTAGTATTATTTCATTATCCACAAGCTTTATAAACGCAATCTTCAAATAGCTATCCATGATTCTAGCTCTTAAATAACTCATTACATTTTGCAATAACAGATGTCGCTCGCGTCGTGAACGCTCCAATTTTCCACGTGAACAGTGACAACCCCGAAGCGGTGATGCATGTGTGCAATGTGGCTGCGGAGTGGCGTGCCACCTTCCACAAGGACGTGGTCATTGACATCGTGTCGTACCGTCGCAACGGGCACAACGAAGTCGATGAACCGATGTTCACACAACCTCTTATGTACCAGAAGATTCGCAAGACTAAACCCGGTTAGTAACACAGACTAAAACTATCCAGTATAGTTTGAATAATTTATTTTACAGATACAGTACATTAAGGACTAGCTGTGTCAGTGTCCTCGTAAATAGTTATTTTGGGCATCAAAATTATTTTTTGCAAAACCTCATTCATGTTTGAAAAATGTATTATTTTTGTACATGCACATAAAGGCACTATACAATTTAAAAATCGAAAAAAAAATGGACATAATTTTGTTTTTAAACTCATTCATGTTTATAAATAAAAGCTGTTACTCACGACGTCGATCGCATCCTGTCGATCTTGCAAGTTAATCTTAAAGAAAGTAGTATGTCTAATGTCACGGACTCATTCCTTCATACATATTTTTTGTGTATCTTAAGCCCTTTTGCGCAGCGCACGTAACAGAAACCCGTCCTTCCACATTTCTCATCTCATCACTATATCTTCGCTCCTATTAGTCGCATTGTAATGTTTCATAGCCTAAATCCTTCCCTGATAAATGCTCTAATTTTCACAAAATAATTTTTCCATTACACCCAGTAGTTCAAATAAACAAACAAACTCTTCAGCTATATATATATAAGTATAGATTGTATGTAGTTTATGAGAGTAATACACATTTTAATAAAGCACTTCAGGAACGCCTGGTTGTAGTTAAAATAAATAACTGAGCTGTTATTTAAACCGTCATAAGTGTTTTATATAAATACAGTACATAATATGTCTAACCTAAAAAATATTTTTACAGTACTTGAAATATACGCGGACCGACTCATCAAGGAAGGTGTTGTTACCGCCGAAGAGGTGAAAGACGTGAAGGACAAGTACGAGAAAATTTGTGAAGACGCTTACAACCAGGCCAAGCAGGAGACCCACATTAAATACAAGGACTGGCTCGACTCGCCATGGTCCGGTTTCTTCGAGGGCAAGGACCCACTTAAAGTAAGTGTTGAACTATAAAATACTGTTATTACTTTTACCGACCGAAGATTTTTTTGTGATAGAGAAGGACAAATAGACTTGGAGTTCACTTGATGATAGGTGAAATAAGTCAGTCACAAAACATCTTAACATGATGCACTGTCGGATTGGATTTGAATATTCGGAAATCCATAGACCGAACTTAATGGCGATTAAAATACACAGATTTTTCTAAGTTATCTAGAACAGTTATGTTAGCAATTAGATTTGTATAAGCTTTTTGCTTTAAGCGCTGCATATTTTTTTTTCCATTTCAAACATGTACATTGATTTATGTTTTTCTGATAATATATAGATTGTAGCAATTTCCTAAAAATAAATCCTCTTGGAACAGATGTCCCCCACAGGAGTGGTGGAAGAGACTCTAGTGCACATCGGTAAGAGATTCTCCAGCCCGCCACCCAACGCAGCCGAGTTCGAGATCCACAAGGGTCTACTCCGTATCCTCAAGGCTCGTATGGAGATGGTGGAGAAACGCACCGTGGACTGGGCCCTCGCTGAGGCCATGGCGTTTGGTTCTCTTCTTAAAGAAGGCATCCACGTCAGACTCTCCGGTGAAGATGTGGAAAGAGGAACATTCTCTCACAGGTACATACGAATTAGAACTGTCATATATGAGTCGTAATCCAAAGTCAAAATAGGTTGACAGCGGTCTTGTTACCATCAAGTCGATTAAAATAAGTTTAACTAATATATGTAGCGTTTTACTTCAGTAAAATTTAAAGAAAACTTTCGTATTTAAACTAAGCTACACTATTGATTTGTAGGTTAAAGCTTGCTATTCACTTTTATTAAGCATTAAGAATATTAAAGTCATAGCTACTATTATATAATTATGTATAAATTTAACCCATAAATATTTATTCAAAATAAATTGTTAAATAGAATCAATACTGCCTATTACCTGTACATATACTTTTACCTTGATTTTGTTGTTCTCTACGCCAATGAACGTTTTTGAATACAATATATTCATTTCCGCAGGCACCACGTACTTCACCACCAGAAGGTAGACAAGGCGACCTACTGTGCTCTGGCACATCTCTACCCCGACCAGGCGCCCTACACAGTTTGTAACAGCTCACTTTCTGAGTACGGTAAGATTTTTTACTCAAGATTTTAATTGTAGTAATTGAATTAATAGAAGTAATTTTAAACGACATGAAATTGTCACTTGGCTTTTTCGACTTCAAGAATTTTGAGAACCATATTTCTTTGAATAAAACACTATTAATGGTTTAAAACGCGAAATGATTATTTAATTTATCCCTCTCGTGATCACGACTGCTGCACTGCATCGGTAACGTCGAGCGGTTATTAAAACAATTATAAATATGTTAACTACACAGTACATTTTGTTGTTTTAAACTGCTATTTGAATTTTTACTATTCGCTTAAATATATGGACATTACACAAATTTACCATTTACAACTGCTGCAAATCATGCAAATCGTCGGGTCGTGGGTGAAGTAAATTAAAAATAAGAGAATTAAAAAAAGAGTTTAATGTAATAATGTACTACTCGCGTTAATTGTTGACCATATTTCAATCCTCCCGACCACGCCTGCAGCAAAGCATGTCAAATTATATATAACTTATTGCGCGTATTAAACCGTAAGAGTTTTATTAAAATTTTGCATTACTCGAATAATGATATAATATGCATTTTGAATCTAATTAATGCAAGTTTTATATGCAGGTGTCCTCGGTTTCGAAGTCGGTTACTCCGTGACGAACCCGAACGCGTTGGTGCTGTGGGAGGCCCAGTTCGGTGACTTCAACAACGTGGCGCAGTGCATCATCGATCAGTTCATATCCAGCGGACAGGCCAAGTGGGTGCGACAGTCCGGTATTGTGCTTCTGCAGCCCCACGGCATGGAGGGCATGGTTAGTACAATGTAGCTACGAAGGGGGGGGGGGTGTACGGAGGATCTGTTTTTTTACTATATTGTGATATTCTTATTCGTGTATAAATGATAACTTAACTGTCTTTTTATGATAGAGGAGAGAGAGAGGAGGAAATACCCCAGTCATATAACATCTAAACAAGACGGCTTTTTCATCCGTGGTCGGTGGTTTGTGACCCGGACGGAATTCGATATTCCTACCATCTATTTAATATCCAGATTTCCAGACGAAGTGCAACATGTTTCAGAAAAATTATACATTTATCATTACTTTTACGTAATGTTCTGTTTACCATGAAAAGGACTGAAACGTTTATTTTTATTTGATTTTTTTATTAAAGGGTCCTGAGCATTCATCCGCTAGGCTGGAGAGATTCTTGCAGATGAGCGCGGACGACCCAGACTACATGCCACCAGAAAGCCCTGACTATGAAGGTACCATTGATATATCGCTACATGATCATATCACTAAATCATCGCATGTAGCCAAATAGTTACACGTGTTCTGGGTTCGAATCCCGGGTAAACAATAGATTGTTTCCCTTAAAACATACTAGAATCAAAACTATGTAATTAACAACCCTGTGTTTCGTTATGTATGTTAAGATAGTTCACAAAATATACTCCCTCTATGCTTAAGTCACTGAAGTGAACTGAACTGAAGTTCAATTAAAAATGCTACAAATAAACAAATCTAAGATAAATATTCTATAACAAATGGTAATGAACTAAAAGGGAAGGAAATATCTATCCATCTTTATCAACCTAGATAGAATAATATAACAAAAAAAAAAGATTTCGAGGATTGTGCGCGCCTGTGACAATTTAATATATGACATAATTATTAAATACAGTATATAATAAACGTATTTTTTTCAATTTATTATCGATATTTAATTTATACATCGTACTCAAAATATTAAAATTTTTCAAGTTTTGACCTTACTAGATTATGTCGCCCCATAGGACTTAGTTAAATATATGTTAACTGTTTTAAAAGTTTAATACCAATTCATAACTTGCAGTACGTCAGCTGCACGACTGCAACTGGATCGTGGCGAACTGCTCGACCCCGGCGTCTCTGTTCCACATCCTGAGACGTCAGATCGCGTTGCCCTTCCGCAAACCCCTGATCCTCATGACACCCAAGTCGCTGCTGAGACACCCCGAGTGCAAGTCTTCGTTCGATGAAATGGCTGAGGGCACTACATTCAAGAGGTAAGCCCTAAATTTTTAAATTAATTTAGTTAAATGCAAAAAGCTAAACAAATTTCTTGATATTTTTTAAAGTGACGTCCACATGTTAATTAGTAACAATCTAAAACCGTAATATGTTGTCTTTAATGTTAAATATTATCTGTAGTACTAACTGTAGTTGACGCGAGCAGTATACATTTAGGTAAAACACTTTAACGGTTTAAAACGCGGTGTATTTTGGTTAAACCTATTTGGTAATTATTTTAACTACGGCCCAACGTTACGGATGCGTTGCAGCAGCTGTGGTCACGGGGAGAGGTTAACTATTTATTATACATCGTGTTTTAAACTGTTTAAGTGTTTTATTAAATAAAACAGTTTTAACGGTTGAAAACGCGCAATGTTTTAGTGACTAATATCTTTTGCGGTTTATGCTGTCATAAAGTAGAATTGTATTTGAAGAAACAAGTCAACAGCCTTCCTAATTGTAAATAGCAATAAATAATCGTTATTTTTGGCAACAAATATGCGGTCATAAAATGGCGGTCATTAAATGCTCTCTTAAGAACACTTAAGATTAACTGAGCGATTTCTGAACGGCAACAGTCAGTGTTGCAAAAAAGCAATCTTGTAAAATGTATGCAAACGTTTCAGAGTGCTGCCCGAAGAAGGCCCAGCCAGCGAAAACCCAGACAAAGTACGTAAAGTGGCTTTCTGCTCGGGGCGTGTGTATTACGACCTGCTCAAGGAGCGTCGCGACAGAGGTCTCGAGAAGGACATCGCTATTGTCCGGTGAGATTTACATTCTGTTTTAGCCTAAGAACTTGTCATTTTAATATTACAAATGAGGATGCTAGAGGCAGAGTGGCCTAATAAGAAACATAATATTATTTTCAATAAGGAAAAATTTAAAAGCGCAATTAACTTAGGCGAAAATGAATTGTTACTATTATTTGTGGAAAATTATCGTTTTTAGACTTAAATATAAATAACTCAAGTCATAAAAGCAGTTAGGCTACTCTGTCTCTAGCGGCCTCATATAATACATTACTTTAAATAACTCAGAGCAATTAACAAAGATTACTTGGATACAATACAAATATTCTTTATTGTTATAAAACAAAACAACAAAAAAAAATATACAAATTGATGGAAATTAAGGACAAACGGCGACTTTATAGCTAAATAGCTATCTCTTCCAAGCAACCTTGATGGAAATGAAAATTCAGTAATAAAAAAGTTTGCGTGACAGACTTTGGATATTATTTTCTTGAACCTTTGAAGTTGAATAATTATCCCCCTTTTATTCGTATTTCCTTCTGTTTATATATATTTCAATTCGAACCGAGATTAGCGCGTTCAAACAAATATACTCTTCAGTTTTATAATATTAGTATAGATTATTGATTTATGTTACAGAATTTCAAAAACGTTATAAAAAATATAGATGTTATTCTAAAATTTAGATGTGTTTAACTATTTATTATTAGCATTATTATTTATAATTAGAAGTTTAAAAGAAAATTAAAAAAAAAACAGTCGTAATTTATTAGTTTATTCATTTTATATAATACCAGATTTATAATACCAAATGCGCCTTTTCACAGATTGGAACAAATCTCTCCGTTCCCATACGACCAGTTGAAGAGCGAAATCTCGAAATACCCTAACGCCCAGCTGGTGTGGAGTCAGGAGGAGCACAAGAACATGGGATCATGGAGCTACGTTGAACCACGTTTCCGCACTCTCTTGCGCAACCAGAAACAGATCAGGTAAGTACTGTCTACAGTTTACTCGAGTAGTACACATTTGAATAAAACACTTTAACGTTTAAAACGCAATATATTAGTTAAACTTATTTGAAAATGATTGAACCGTTAAAGTGTTCTATTTAGATCAGGTAAGCTTAGATTGATATAAAATAAGCGTTTTTGATATATTAAGTTGTAGGCTAAAGTCTTTAAGATATCATCAATAATATTTCTGGATGGATGGCACTTGAACAAAAATACATAATATGATAATGTTCTACCTTATATATAGATAACCTATATAGATTTTCTATATAATAATGTGTCTAAGTGAGTTTATTGTTATAGTTTATAGTTTTGGTAAATAAGTAGGTTGTGGTAACGGAAAACCAATTGATTGATTGTTACCGTAATTTATGTTAATACCATAAATACGAACAACGATAGTCTTCGACCAATTAGTAGATTATCAATCGCATATTTACGAAACGTTTAAATAAAACACTAACGGTTTAAAACGTCATATATATTATTTAAACTTATTTGATAATATTTTAACTACGGCCCGACGTTTTAAATAAGTTTTACATCATAATATATTACATACATATATTGCGATTTAAACCGTTACTACTCGCGTAAACTACAGACAGTATTTAAATGAAGCGTGCTTAAACACGAAACTGACAAACCGCAGACAAAAGCACAGTTGCTTCTTGTTACTCAATTTAAAAAGTATATTTTTCCTTTGCTTATGGTGATTTAGTTAACCGATTTCTATCAGGTATTCACACGTTAAGACATTCTTAAACGTAGCTTGCAGCCTTTGCACAACCTTCAAAATCATTGTTACTACTAACATGTCACATCGCCGTAAACTAGGGCCCTTGGTTGCAGGCGTAAAACGCAAGGGGGCGGGTGGTTTAGCCAACTGTTTGGTGGCAGTGACGCTCCACAGACAGACACACAAACAGAGACCATTCCACGTATTATTAGGTGAGATTAGTTCATCGTATTTTGCTTTGGCAAATGGCTCTGTTGTTTAACACTGTACAACTATATTGCGTTTGTCCTATACAAATCGGATTTTGATATTTAATATTTTGTATAATTGTTTTACGTTTCCACATTGGGTCATTATTTATTTTTACTTTAGCGCATTATAATAGCTTAAATATCATTCATACTCTTATAAGAAATTGGGATCACTTCGTGTGCATATAACTTAAAAGTGAAATGATAAGATTCCCATTTTTTAATGAATGAAAGGCTGCAAGCTACGTTTTATAGCTAAATTGGTGTTTATCGTAAAAAGGAACTGTGATGTTGGTATGCTTCCGTTTACAATACCTATAATGGTGCTTACAAGTTGATGAAATGACTACTTGAACAATATACGTCATAATGTTGGTAATGCCAGAAAATCGCTCTTTTGAAATGCTAGAGTTACATTCTTAATTCTACACTTGTCTTTGGTATAGGTTCCTGAAGTATTCTTCAACTGAGCTTTTAACTTCGTTTTTCGTATTAACACGTTAAGGTGAATAGACTAAACAATACCTTCCTAATGTTAATTAAAATTTCAGTTATAACGGTCGTGCAACAGCAGCGTCGCCAGCCACCGGATCCAAGGCGGCCCACAATAAGGAGTTGAAAAACTTACTCGACGAATTCTGCGTTTTATAAATTGACTTAATCCATAAAACTCTTCTCACCGACCCACTCCCGCAATAGAATAAACTAAAACCAATAGATAAATACATTAGAAAATTCAATTGTCACAATTCTAGAACGTTCTTCTCATTACGCAAAACAATTTCATATCCTTTCAGTATTGTTCTCTGATTATTATTATTTAGAGTACTTAGGTAAATTCTTATTTATTCTGAGTAGAATAGTTCGTTCATAGATATACTATTTATTTGAATGATGCTGAGATGCCGACACCGTAGCGTAGTTATTGTACTCTTCGATTTTGTAAATAAATCTAAAAGCTAGTTGTATTCGTAAATCTGTAGTTTTGCTGTTAATAAAATTCTCGTAATCTAGTACAGTCTTTGAGCTAGTCTGAACTGCGTTGTATCACACTTTAATGTTCTAGTAATAGTTTTTCTCTAAGAGATCCTTTTAAGAGCAGACACGTACAAAATGTTTGTTGCGACCGGTTCTTTTGAGCTCGGTAGAATATAAACGTAACGTTCGTCTAACGATATTTCGAGATATTAGCTAGACTTAGCGATGCAATTTAATTTAAATTAGATATAGCGTACGTATAGCATATTTTCGTTTCCTTTGCATCTTTGCAATAGTTTCGCTCGTAGTTACCGGCACGGCTGTCTGTAAGGAATAACACCAAATACGTCTCGTCTTTCTTATAATATAAATATCTCCGAAACATTAAATCTAAAATGTTTAGATCTCTAAGTATTCTATCTACTGTGGGCCAATATTTTGAGTTCTATTATGTTATTATGTTAACAAACATAACAATACTTAAATTGCGTTGCAAAGAATAACGCTTTTCTTTAACACTACCTTGGTACAGAAACGTCAGTGCAGGAGTTGTCAACATTTATAGAACAGATAAAAGAAAGTTTAAGTATTTGTTCATATTGTATTTTTCTCATTTTGTTGGCCTTATATGTGTAAATTGTACATGTGCTATGTTATTGTCTATCGAAATTCACCGCTTCATAGTAAGTTTTGTATTTACTACGTGCACCGTTTAATTGTTATTTAATTTTTCCTTTGCTTTGGAATCGCTCAGGCGTGAAGGTGGCGTGAAAGACTAAGAGTGACCTAGCCCAGAATGTACGGCAAATGTTTGAAAGGAAGCCTGAGATATTTATTGCTACATACGTTATATTGTCTAGTTATTATACAAATAAATATATATTTGAATGCCAAGATCGTTTCATTGGACAATATATGACCTTAAGACAATTATGTGACCAATTTTGTTGTCTTCTCAAACGTTAAAAACATAATATGGATCCTAAATAAATACCTATAGTAAAGTGGCAGTTGCAAACTACTAGTGTTTTGTTTCGCAAAAAATATTCAAAAAAGCAAAAATCCTTTAAGTATGGCACAAAATTATCATGATAATGAAACAATGTATAGAATGTCTGGCTGTTGACGGAAGTTGTACAAATTTCAAATGCTTTTTTTACTACAGATCAACTACAGCTTTCGTTGTGACTCTCAAATGAACGGTCTAATATAAAGCGCCAATGTGAGGTAGTTGTGAAATACGTAGTGTACGGTGTAAAAGTTATTTAATCAAAGTTTCCATTCGTTTATACACAGAAAGAAGGCTTATATTATTATTGATTTTCGTTGCTATGTGCTTTAATGAATTGGGTAATTTTCTTAATATTTTAGTAATGACAATTACATGAAAGCTAAGAAGAGAACGTTCTTATAAGTTGTACTTAAATATGAAGTTGACATTTTGACGGGGTCATTGAACCAACGTATGTCTGAAATCAACGGGTTATCGTTCTCACCGTGAACAACATGTTTTAAATAAATTTATAATTTGTCTCAAATATGTTGGATTTCATCTGAAAAACCGTGAAGTTTCAGTCTGTGGTTTTCCGAATATCCAAAATAGATCGACAGGGTACTTGTCTACATATCGCTATGGGTTTTTTTTTCACCTACCATCAATTGGTTCCCATGTTTGTCTGTCTATCTTATTTAAAATCACAGCTGTCAAATTGAATAGAAACTGCTCTATTTTCAATTCCAAGCTTTAGCTTTATTTTGGTGTTATCGGTGACACGATAAAAAGTAGAAGCTCCGTTTTACATAATGAGTGCAATAGATCGCCGTTGTGGGCCCAACGCTGACACACAGGCTCGGGCCACACGCTTGGAGCGCTTTCAAGATTCCTATCTCTAGTCTCATTTCAGAGCACAAAGCGATCTTGACGCTCTATTTATAAACCGCTCGGATAAGCGGCCGGGCTATGCGGAAAGGCGCGAAGATTAGAGATCGTATCGGGCCGAGTGCGTTTTGCACGTCATTCCAACAGCCATTCAGAGATTGCTTGTAAAAATAAATGGTGCCTTCTGCGTCGGGTCACACTATACTCTGTAGCGTTAAAATGTAATCAGAGGGTCAGTTGGGGAAAACAAAAAGAAGTCCATTAAAATTTCACTTTTAGTTGCGCTGAGTAGCATTTTTCGTTTACGGAAAATAATAAAATGGCGTCGACACTATGTCCTCGAACGAACTTTTTGTAACAATAATCGAACCCACACTATACAACGCGTTTAACACTGAACCACTAGAGTAAAATTTGTATGTGAATAGAATATTTGAAAACGTATAATTATAAGTTATTGTTATTATTAAAAATATATTTAAAAAATATACCACGGTGTAAAACGCGAAATGTATTAGTTAAAACTTTAATATTTCACATATTAGCACATTATTTGCATTATATAAATCACAAATCTATTTAGATAGAAAATGGTAGATGCCGGTTCAAGTCCCGCCCGTGTAGTAATAATTATTTAAATTAATAGATAGAATTTATTTAGTGAAAATAGATTTTAATGTGTGTTAGTTAAGTCATTTTTATAGATTAAATGACTAATAATGTACTACTCGCGTTAATGTTCATTCACAAATTACTATTTTATGATAATTTTTTCCTATATTTGAAAAAAGTTAGATTATCTCAATTCTGTTATTTTTCGTTCACAACTTAAACGTCATTTGTGATGTGCGAAGAGGGGAACGCGGTTGCTTTAGATTGTGTTCTTCCTCAACTAACTCCTTTGTTTTCTAAAACCTTCCAAGCTGCTTTAATATTTCGTATTGTCGGTTTAAATTCTGTCTACTTCAACGTAACCGTCTGGCGATAAGTGCAGCTAAGTTGAGCTTTTGTAAACGACTCTTTCGTTTCTGTTTAGCTTATTTTTCCCTTTGTGACCGCGTTTTCACTTTTTCTAGTAGGCTATAGAATACGAATGAATCGTGTTTCCTTTTTTAATTCCACTTGTTATCATTATAAATACAAAATTAGTTTGAATACATTAATAAAGTTGTTAATTACTTAGTGTGTTCCACTTTGTTTACGTGAGATAGTAACTTTGACGAGAATCGCTTGTCACTGACATCCTAGCGCTATAAATCTAGCCCATATGTTTGTATGTGCAGTAGTTCCGTAGATAATAGGGTAGATGTTTTAACGGGTTCGTCATTATACTAATCTGCGGGTCGTGGGTTCGAGTCCAATTTTTTTTTTCCGTCCGGCTCGTTTCCGAATATCCAAAGCCAAAATAGGTCGACAGCTTATATTGTTTCGATGTTATATGGCTGGGTTATATCACCTACCATCAAGTGAACCGGTTGGTAGGTTATGCGTTCCGTGCAGTTCCAAAAGCAACAGCACGGAACGCTGTGATCGTACATTCAAACCGCGGTTCTGTAATATATTTTACCCATCTATGACAGTTATCTATACTAATATAATATTATAAATTCGAAAGTCTGTCTGTCTGTCCGGCTTTAACTCAGAAACTACTGAACTGATTTAAATGAAAATTGGTACACAGATATTTTAGAGCCTGAGTAGGACTTTTTAATGTGAAAAAAGGGTTGATAAGGGATAAAGAGGGGATGCAAGTTTGTATGGAAATACGTGGTTTTGGAACAATGACACTTTCTTCTTGGGCTTTTTGCGAATAGGAGTGGGAGTGAGAGTGAGCGTAGGAATGTGAGTGGGAGTTAGAGTGGGAGTGATGTGAGGTGAGAGTGTTGCGGCAAAGTAGCACTTAAATTTAAAACTTTAAATGCGCCCTTAGATAAATGAATAAACAGCCTAAATAATTAAAAATTCTACCCCAAGTCACTATTCCACGCGGACGAAGTCGCGGGCACAGCTAGTTAATTCATAAAACTACAAAGTATAATATACTATACATTTATACACTGCAATTGTTTATATGAATGAGAAGGCTTACGTGACAATGAAAGACTAAGCTTTATGATCTCTACAACAAGATAGAGAAATAGGTTCTACATTTATCTATTGAAAGGCTTTTCAATTAAACCGTATACAACAAGTTACCTAGAATATTCTTCCGGAGCTTATCACTGCATAATGCATGCGAGTAATGTACTGTAAAGATGGCTTTTTTTATTATTTACCACGTTGCGGTTGAAATCACAATACAATGCCGTGTTGCGTTTTCAAAGCTTTATAAAAAGACTACGCAAGCCTTTGTGAAAGCATCCAGCCGTGCCCATTAATCCTCCACGTTGAAAAATATTATCCTACCAGCCTCATACAAGTGTAAATAATGCGTTATTATTTCTTTTATATTGTACTTATCTTCTAATTAAAATATCGTATCGATAAACGCTTTGTATTTGAAAGGCCAGTGCGGGTAGTTTTGCTATGCAATCAGCAGTTAAAGCTTAGAATTGGCACCTTGGACTGTTATTGTAAAGTGAAGCTTTCGACCTACATTCATTTACAATAACGTTACATTGTTTTGAATTTAACTAAATTCCTGAATATTAAATAAAGGTAGGTACCGTCGACTGTACAAATTTCATATTGTAATCTTAATTTAAATTTGCGAGTAGTACACATTTAAATTAAACACTTTAAACGGTTTAAAACGCGAAATGTATTAAACTTGTTTACAAATTGTTTTAAAATT